GACTTTTGTCTTCTGTCTGACTGCCAACCAAAGAATCCACCACCAACTGCACTAAAAAAGGTGACTGGAACTTGATTTTTTTCGCCCAGTTGCTGGTTGTTGAGGGGTACTGTGGGACAAAATACTGAAATTTTCTTATTATTATTAAAAAAAAAAAGGTGAAACAAGAATGTTTAATACTAATATATTTACCAAGTTTTTAACAAATAATAATAAGAAATAAACATATATTGCAAGGTCCTTCAGAGCTCCTTGTTTTCAGTCTGATTCTAAGTACCATGGCTAAAATTTAAAACACTTATTACCTATGTAGTTCTATTTATGATCGAATAAATATTATATTCAGGTGGTTTGTGTATTTTATACTAGTAGTGGAAAACTTTTCTACCCATTGATTACTCCTATTTTACTCCTAAGATTTCATTAAAAACTCTCATATAAATCATTTTTATAAATCTCATCTCATTTCTCATAAATCTTAGACTCAGTTTTATAAATCTTAAAACCTAAATCCTAAAAGGATATAAATCCTTAGACATTTTTAAAAATCCAAAAACCCAAAATTCATAAAGTTTTCATTGACTTTTATCCACTGTCCTCAACCTGGACTTGCTTTGATTTTGCTGCTCGATTGCTCGGCTCGCCCGAGTCCTGAGTCCTGGATAGCTCCTTTGTCCTGTGGTAGGTCGCCAGACGCGTGCCGCAATCTCGTTTACCTCTCATTTCACCCCTCTACCCCGTGTATTATTTCTTTTTTTTTTGTGTTTTTGTTATTGTGCTTTTTCGGCGAGCGTTCATTTGCTTATTTGTTTGTTCACTTTGTCCGCTGATGCGGCCGCATCAAGGTAAACTTGGTCGGTTGCCGTTGCCACTGAATATGAATCTGTATCTGAATCTGAGGAAACGAGAGCGTGTCCTGATCCTCCGGCTGTTTGTTATTGTTTTTCTTGAACCGGCTGCCGGCGGCCAAATGGGATTTATTATTATTTTTATACTTTAAATATTGTTGCAATCTCAGGCAGCCATTTCATTTATTTTTTCGTAATTTTTTTAGACTCGATAAGGTGGCCCACTCTAGGTGGTTTTCCTCCAAAAGTGTTTAACCTTTTAGCAGCTAATGTTACACCAATCCGAAGGACATCCTTCACTCAACCTTTACGAACTAAACTCAAGTATTTACTCAGCTGAACGCTGTGACGTGTGCCCCAGTATCTGTTTCAATTTTCGTTAATTTCCTTCGAATGCAGAGCAAACATTTTTTGCGTAAAACAAACAGAGTTCATACAAAATATTAAATTACCAGATTGGAGTAGAGGGACTTTGGTTCTTGGGGGAAAGTGCACTGGCAAACGGTAAGGACGCGAAAGTCTAATATGCGGGCCCGTTTCAGCCCTCACTCCCCTAACTACGTTGTTGCTGGAAAATGTGGTTCAGGTAAACCGTTAGGCTGCTTAGGCCAACAAAAGCCGAACCGCAAAATCAATGCCATACAACGCACACGTGCCCAAGGATTTCCCAATGGCTAGCCTTCTCTTTCGCACTCCCAGCAAGCGCCAAGGACCTTTTCCAGCTGTTTTGTGAATGAAAAAGGTTTGCGGCTGCGAGCGCCCGGCATTCAAATGCAGTTTCCAGTTGCTCGGGCATCGGTACAAAAGTCAACAATTGACAGTTATGAAAACAGATAACGATGATCGTCCTGACAGTATTGAGGATGATGATGATGTTAGGATTGTCAAGGATAAGGAGAGGGATAAGTTGTAGCTGCCACACTTTGAGGATAAGGAAAAAGGATTACCACGAAGTGATTCGACTTGTTGGCCCTTTTTGAAATGTTGTTTAATGATGTACTATTAGTTATGTTTCTATTTTATGAAATTAACGCAGAATTGCACTTTACGCCTTTGGGAAATACATTGGTTTTGGGGGAAAATCTTCCCACAGAATGCCAGGCACTTGACTAGGCCCATTCGACCCAAATTCCCCCCTTTTCTTGGCGGAGGTGGAGGTGGAGCGGCTTAGACCGCGGTACAAGTATCCAAATACTCGGGAAAGAAATTTGACATTCCCCCGCACTTAAATGTCACATAAAGCGTTAAACGAAATGAGGAAAAGGCGGCCGCAGAACAGAGAACACTTGAGATTTCGATTCCGATTCCGAGTCCGAGTCCAATGTTGTGGTGCGACCCCAAAATGTGCATCACTCTGCACCACCGCTCTTACAGCCACCCCTACACCGACATCGCCGACGAATGAACCACACTCGAAAGTATTTATGCTGTCATTACTTTCGGTTCGGTTTCGGAATCGAATTGGTTTCGGGTTCGTTTCTCTTTTCTTTTCTGGGGCCGCGCAAAGTTTACTGCTAATTAAAAATTGTGGAGAAACGAGAAACATGCATGCAATTCAATACAAAAGGGCTGAGTTACCCCTACAAAGGGGTGTGAAAATAGCTGACCCATCTGGAGACCCTCTTTTGATCTAAGACTCAATCCTTCCCCTCGCCAGGACTGCCTTTCCCACCATTACCGAGAGTCCTTTTCTCACTTCGGGGCCATCCGTAATTGTAAAGTAAAATTAATTGATTCCTCAGTCAATGACGTCAGTGCGGAACCACCAAAGTACTTAGTTAATTCCATTTTATGTGGGTACCAGCAGCAGAACCCAAACCAACAGAAGCCAGGGAAAAATCCAAGTGAAAACTGAAATCGAATATGATCGACAGGCCCAATTTAAATGAAGAACTTTCAGTGGGTGTTGCCGGAGCCTGGGAAGAAATCCTTGAAGTGAATGCGGGACGTGGTAATTGAAGGTACTTCTACCCACAATTCTACTCGGAAATATTTACATTCGCGTGTGTCTTAATTATTTGCTTTATAGGGGTATTACTCAGAAAGCAGGAAGTGCCAGGATACTATAGTATTAAAAGAAGATCAACTATATGGTGACTGAATGATCTAATTTAAGAGGAATATTTTCTAGACATACCAATAGCACCTCCACCCACATATGTATTCCCATCGCGCTCGTCAAAACAAAGTTCCACCAATCGAGTGTATGCAACAGGTGCCACAAAGCAACCAATGTGCGCACCTTTCCCGAAAAGACCGCACCTCGTTTCTCATTAAGCACCCACGCCGAACTCACAGATGCAAAGATACAATCCCCCACCACACACAGCCACTCATACAGATACATTTAGGTGAGCAATGAGCGGCTCTCGCTCGCTCTCCCACAAAAGGCCATGGAGCGCTGGCCGCCACGTCAAGTGAGAAAATTATGAAGCTCCACCTATTTTACACTTACACCCGAAGGTGTGTGTGTGTGTGTGCGTGACTAAAAGAGGGGGGAACATGTGTTAACCGCATTAAAAATTAATGTACAAATTGTTTGTTATTATGTTGAGGTTGTTTTTTGTTTTACTAATTTTTAAGGGGTTCCTATCAGTTCCTAAAAAAAAAACAACCGATAATATATCTTCGATACTTGGGGTATTTTGAGAGTAGAGTATCTTTTACCATTGCCAAAGGTATCTCGAAATATTAGACGTGGAAACTCAACTCTTATCTAAAGAGAATTAAAAATATTCATTTTTGTTTGTTAAAATTCTACAAAAACAAATCTCTAGAGATCGTACAACTTGTTGATGGAGCTGAAGAATGAATTTCCCATCTCTTTGTTGTTTCGTAGGAAATTCTTCAGATCTTCAGCGATTTGAATTCTTCTGTCATTTGCAGGCGTGTCCATTGATGGACATTCTTGGGAACTGGATGTCATTAATGTGTGGGGCAATCTTGGCATAATTTCGGTATTTCTTACTCGGAAATCCCCAAATGCGGAGATTGGAGAAAATTTTGCAATCGCAAGTGCAAATGAGTGTGTCCGTTAACACAGTGATATAAAGACGGAAAGGGTAAGGAATTCACTTGAAATAAAAAGTTCCCTGCTTCTATGCAATTCGCGGAAATAAACGATAAGAAGGTTTTAAAAGTGAAAGAGTTCACACAAGAGGGAATTTTTAAAAGGAAGTATGTATGTATGTATGTGTGATTCAGATAAAAGAAGAATAGACAAAAATTTCATAAAATGACAAAATATTTAACCTATTTAACAGATTAACCTATATCTTCCATTTAAAACATTCAGTCTCACACAAAAATATAATTAGTCAAAGCTAAATTAAATTTCATTTAATATTCATCGCTAAAATACAAACGTAGGCCTATCCCCAGATCTACCATATGTTGAACAAAATAATACATTTAATAAACAACATAATATCAAATATTATTTAACCAAAACCCTTACGTTTGCTTACGTTTTTTCTCGGCTTTTACGTTGCTTTTCAGGGGTGCTATGGCGCCTAGTGCTTAACATTTACGATATTGAAATAACATAGCCATGTTATATTAAAAGAATTCTTCTACAGAATATGCTCTCCAATTGGAGAGCGACCACCACCAGTACCACCCCACTTTGGTATCACCTCGCCACACACACACAGATACTCACACACAGTCGCAGGCACATATAAACCCTCCCGTACACCCGTAAATGTATCTGAATCGTGGACAGGCAAACGGTGAACCGTTACACCGTTATATTATGCTGGTGGTGGCTTACGCACACCCTCACATAGAGCGCTCTCGCTAGCATCTCTCAGTTCGTCTCGCAGCGAATCCGACGGATACGGACACGAGGACGTAGCGGCGGCGGCAGCGGCAGCGGCAACTAACTCAGATGCTGGCCAAGTCAGAACTTAGAATTCAGTTGCATTGTAGACGTCGCGACGGCAGCACACGCGTCGCTTTCCCACAGAGCCAACCTCTGAGAACACAACAGTAAAATCACGCAGAGAACGCACAGATAAATACATATTTCTGAACAGCCAGCCAGCCACTCGAGAAATAGAATAAAAACAAACGCGATCCGCGCAGCGTTGCCCTAAAAACCAACAAGATAAAGTGCTTCAAATGTTTCAAATCGCCGCAGAATAAACCCCAATGGCCGCCACACGTGTGTGCTACCCGAAAACAAATACGGAATAAAATCCAAAAGAACCCAAAACCAGTCTAAAACAATCTTTTCAACCAAAAATTAAAAATCAGAAAGCTAAAGCCAAGTGTTAGAACACAATAAGCATTCCAAATGTTGTCCTGTTTGGCGCCGTCGTCTTCACGTTTCGGCCAAGAGGATACCATCATTCAGCAGAGCATGCCATCCACAGCCTTCACCATGCAGTGTAAGTGTTCCCCCAACAATCGACAATAGAACCCCGGATGAATCATCCCACAGTCCCACAGTATCTCACACGAAACAAGATCGAATTCATTATCAGTCTGAGATGCAATTGAAGGCGGCTTCAAGTGTGCGTATTGGTGATGGTGGGCGATGGACCTCCGTATCTGTATCTGTATCTGTATCTGTGACTGTGATTTTCGCGCCAAAGGCTTTCAAGTCTCGATCGACGAAATATGCAAGCTTGGCAGTTTCCGAGAAATTCCGCCATCTTGCAAGAACCCAATGTGTGGTCTTCACCTCAGGGGAACAAAATGAAAAAAAAAAAAGAGAAACTGTAGAAAAACAAAAACATAAAAAACGAGTAAGGATCGTAGGAGGTTTCGAATTACCTCGAAAAGGAGAGAGAACCCTAACTCCAACCTCAAAAAAGTTTAACCGAATGTGCACCGAAAAAAATCGGATCACCTATTAGAGATCAGTTTTGGAACTTGGTTTATTAAAGATTTACTTAGTTAGTCATACCACTTTTTATTTAGATTGTAGCCCAGGCTGTAGGCATGTCCCTCTCTACATTTTTTCGTTCGGCGTTCAACCAATTGCAGCCACATTTCAATTTGATTTGTTGGCACCGCCGAAGTGAACCGAACCGAACACAGAACCGCCGCCTTGGCAATCTCCACCCATCGAAAACACAGGTAGCTACCCCTGGCTGAGGAAACCGCATGCGCGGGTAGAACAGGTAGAATTGCTTGGCCCATTCATGGCCACAAAAACCTCCATTGAAGAACCTGTTTTATGGCCATATTGTAGGCTGGCTGATGGCTGGTGGGCTCTCGCTTTCAAAAGATACTTATCGACGTGTGTAAACAAAGCATAAAACTGTCAGTGGCCAGAGCTCATCAGCATAAACGAGAAGGTGTGAAGTAGCTTTAGAAATTAATTGAAAACGATGAGTTGAGTTGAGAAATTGGGTAAATGGATGGCGCAACTTCGCGGCGATTGTCAACGCCCACGATTCGGGCTACATGACAATTGATAAGCCAGCTAAGGAGACGGATTAATTGCACATGTTACAGAAAAGCAGAAAAAAAGAGGCTACACCGCAGCTATAAATTATAATTTATGGCTATTTAAGCAGCTCCGTTCTTGGTGCTCTGTTCTGTGGGTGGAACTAAAAGCCCTCGAACATGCGAACAAGCGTTTGAGGAACAGATAGTTTGGCTAATCGATCAGTCGGCGGCGCACAGGTTGGCCCACATACTTGCAGATACAAATGTATCTATATATTTTCCGGTTCTTGGCTTCTTTGCTCCTCTCGGTTGTTTGTTTCCCTGGCCATGTTGATGGCGCTGGGCAGCTGCGACTGCGATGGATATTAATCGCCGGCTACATACGAAATTCTGTTCTTGGGAGCTTTTTTGGAAATATCGGTGCGCATCTTGTACTAATTTTCCGCTGCTCGGCGTGTGTTGTGTCGCATTTCGAAATGGCTCCAAAATGCCATAAATCAAACATTTTGCCATGGCTAAAAAAACCTGTCCCCCGTTATCACCTAGACACACGGTAACGCCCCCTTTGGCAGCCATATACTTAGCTCTCTATATATATGTACATTTAAACTGTATCTGTTCCGACTCGTGGCCACTAAATCAGCGCTAATTTCCACCCATCAATGCTATTTAGATCAACTTTTCGTTGGCCTGAAATTAAACATTTATCTGGCATTTGGATCTTGGATTGGTCCTAGGAGATCCTAGAATGCCTCTCGAAGCATCGGGCTAATTAATCATTTTGCTTCCTGTCAGTGGATGTCAGTTTTATATGCTGGTGCTGTCGGTGCTGCCATTTATAACTCCTGCCCAGCCTGTTACACGTCCTGCATCCTCCACCGTTGACAGGACCGTCTCTTCTCCCGTCTTCTGGTAATCGAAATTAAACAAACTTGGCCCCAAACTATCTGGCATATCTGGCGAAGATGATTAATTTTGGCGATGCCTATCTTAAGTGGAGTAGCAGATACTTTTACTTTATACCGAAAGCAAACACTTCTTGCTTCAGCTTTAAATTGCAATCGAGTCTCGGCAAACAGAAAAAAGAGACAATAAATCAATGAGGGAAAAATCCCCTTTGATATCCTGTAAGTCCCTTTTTTTATTATTCGGTCCTCTCGATGTTCAACCTGCCGCAGCTTTGGGCAAATTATTTGCCACATTTTACTTTTATTTCGCGTTTGCTCAAAAGTAAATTGTTTGCCAATATTTTTTGCTGCTCCCTTTGCTGCCGCTCTGCACACAATTGAAACAAAGATAACTTTGAAACAGTTGTAAAGTGAAAATTGCACGGAATGTGCCCGGACCTGGTCCTCCTGCCGCCTTGTGCTTTCTGCATTTTTGTGAATATTTTTTCTTATTTATTTAATGCCCGCCACAGCACGAGACAACAATTCTCGTGCTGCTCATTGTGCCGCCCAAAAAAAGTGCCAAAAAATCGGCGCAAACAAAAGGGTGCACTCAGGCGCCCCCCCAAAACCCCAACCCCTGAATTCTATAAACCCCTATGAAAAAAGGTGTTGCCAAAGGGCAGGCAAAATTGCACTGCCAAAAAGGAGGCTTCCAGGGGGTGGGCTGCATCCCTCAGCAGGCACAATTTAACATGTAAACGATTTTGGTTAACGGGTAGCGGGCATTGAGAAAAAGCGGCTAAAAGGAGCAACAGAACCGCTGCCATTTCCCTTCTGATTGGCGTTCAATTGCAATAAATTTCGCACAATTGCACAATAATTGTTAAAAGTTTTAAATAAACAAAAATAGTCAACAGCTCTATTGTGGCTGCTCGCAGAAGCTACAGAAAAAGTTTCAATTGCATTCGAGGCCCTTTTTTTTTGCCCCACCGATTGGGTGAAAAATATATACTACACAGCCAACGCGGCCGAAGTGAATATCAATTAGCCAAGTTAAGTTCAACTTTGGCAATATTTTTATTTAATAAAGAGTTTTCTGCATAAATTAAAATTTAAAATAGTATCATATATTTGGACACAGATATATACAATTTTTAAAGCATGTTGTAAAAATTTTAGTTACTTTCCAGTCAAGACAAGTTAGCCAACATTGCGGAATAGCGATTCCCAGAAGTCGATCGTAAAAATACGCAAAGAGGAAAAGTGTCGTATTATTTATTGACTTATTTTTAAAATAAAATCGAAGCTGTCCACTGGTGAGGAGTTGTTTTACGATTCTGGGAAGTGCGTATATATTTTGTTTGTTTTTGAAATTGTATCTTTGGCATGTTCTTGCATCTCCGCCATGTACATCTTCCCTTTGAAACACCTCTATGAATTGCCTCCCTCCCACTTTTGGCATATTTCTCTAATTGCTTTCTACTGCAACTCCAATTTCAAGCCGTGCAACGCCCACCATCTCCGACATCACACGCATTTCTGCATATTTTTTCAAGGTAAATCGCAGATATAGTGCACCCACGGACACATATGTTCCTCCTTTCCATTCCCCGACTGACTCATACCAAAAAAAAAGGACAGGGACAGGGACACGAACACGGACACGGCTCGCTTGGCTATTAAAATTTCCCACTCAGCAAAGCAAAATGCTACAAATAAAATAAACGTGGCAGTCAGCCACTGCAAAGGCAACTAGCAACTGGCAACGTGCAACATGCAGCATGCAGTATGCAGCACGCAGCATCAGCTTGCTGAACAAACAAATAAACGCAAAAGGGCAAAGAAGAAAAATCTCCCTGCCCGTCGTAGAGGAGAATTCTATATTTAGTATTGCGTCTGGCTCCGAAACTGCACCTTTGCATTGCCACTTGAGGGGCAACATGGGCACCTTTGTGCCCATTTCCATTTCGGAAAGTGGAGGAGGAGAGTAGACCAGGGCCAAAGGTGCCTCTGGGTTACTACCTAGGTCCCCGAAAGAGTACGGCCATTCTAAATATAGAGGGATTATCTGTATCAGGATCAAGCCTCCATATGCTGCTCACATGGACTATATGTGTGTCTTCGATTGCCACTTGAGATGGCCTGAGGAGTTCGAAGAGGGCTCTTCCTAATAAACTTTCGCACGTCTGAAACCTGAACGATCTGAAAACAATAGCAAGAGGCCTTCTCACAGGTTTTCGTTTACACCGGACATGCACCGGAAAAAAAGCTTAAAGTATTTCAATTATCTAGTTTGTAACAGTATCAGCTCTTCAGCCCCAGACCACAGAAAAATATATAAATTAATTGTCGCTGTCTGATAGTGTCGTTTTTCATTGGCAATTAGCTAGTTCTGGAATAAGTGCCTCTGCACTCGCTCATTTGCAGCCAATTCGATGGGAATTTATTTCATAAATATGCTAACCACGTCCATTGACTGCAAATGAGCGCAGCACCAAGTCTGTTTATAATTAAGTGCTAAAATTTATGTTTATTTGCACTGGATATCACCGAGTACCGTCCCAGGCGCCACCTGTCGTCCATTTGTCTGTAACTGCGTCAGCAAAACCTAAACAATTCAAGACCCCAACAAGTTCGGCTAAAACCCAGAAAAGAAAAGAATTTGTCTCACCTGACGGCGAGCGGAAAATTGTCATCGCGGTGGACTTCCCCACTTTTCCTCGCACGTTTTGACAATCGGCTGTCAGTGAAATATTAAAAAACACTTTGGCCATCTGACAGCGGCGGGGACTGAGAGAAATCAGGTGGAAAACTCAGAAGGTCCGCTGGCCATAAATTAAATGCTGAAAATAATTTTCAAAACACAAACACAAAAAATAAAGAAAACGGCCAACTAGGCAGAAGAGAAATAAATAAATTTGCATTAGCCGGGCTTAGTCGAAATATGTCTGGCTAATAAAAATTGGCAATAAAAAAAGCACATAAAATTAGTGGGTGCCAGATACGTTCTATCTCTATCTGTATCTATGTTTGCCTTTCCACAAATGTATCTTTTAGACTCTGATATTTTTCCATTGATTTACGCCGCCTGCCCATCTTCGTATTATTTATAATATTTCCGCCCCCAACCCTCTGGCCCATTTCCGTCCCCTCGATGCCACCGATTTCGGGTGCGCGTGTTTTCCACCGCACAGGTGAAATAATAACAAAAACACACCACCAGATAGAAAAGCTACAACAAACACTTGACACCGTTCCAGAAGATCTCCCCCGGCAGCTGCTGCAATTTAACCCACTGATGAAAGCTCGCCGAGATTTTTGATTGCCGGCTTTCGCATTTGTTTTTGTTTTTGGCAACGTGTGGCCGCCCATAAATTGTTCAAAAACGTCCACCTCGCCCCAAAACAGCCCCCAGAAAGAAATGCCCAGCGATCAACATTTTGGCAACTGTCAAAGCAGGCGATTCTTTTGTTTTTATTCGCATTTTGATATCTTCACCTAAGTTAAAGGGAAATAACTTTCAGCGCATAAAATTAGAATTTATTTATTGTATGATTATTGAGATGCATATCTTTTAATTTCAAATACCTTTGTTTCTTTTAAAAATTTAAATATTATATCCCCTTATCCCATCATACCCCTGTACCCAAAAAAAACACTATCAATCAACTTCAATTGGTTGGCGTTAAGCGCAAAATAGTTGAAAGCCCAAGGAGGCCCAGACTGAAAGTGGAAACCAACTGACTAAGAAAAAGTTCACAAAAAGAGACTCTCAAATTCCGTAGAAACAAATACGTTTTCAGAAAAGAAATTCCTTTTCATTTCGTTTCGTTTCGGCTGAGGCATAAATTGAAATTAATTTGCGGGACACTTTCAATATTTCAATACGGTTACCGACAGCCCAACCGACACGACGAAAATATAAAAGTGTAAATACGGAATTGTCTCGGGGCGATTGCGTTAATAATTCCTCACTCGCATCGGTTATGAAAAATTGATTGAGCTAAATGAGCTGGTGACACACTTGTTGAGTTTCACGTTTTCCCCAACCATTTTTCCAACCGTTCCCCCCTCCAGTTGTCTTCCCTTTGAAGCATTATGTTGATGAAACAAAATGTTGGGCCATAAAAAAGTGTTGTCGTTTTACAACTTTTAATAAAAATGTCATTAGGCAGGCCGAATGAAATAAATTCTTGGTTCTTAAAATTATGAACTCGCCATCGCCTGGGACCTGGGATATGGGATCTGGATCTGGACAAGTTGTATATCTATGGCTGTCAGCTGTTGTCCTATAATGGGTTTTAATGGCTTCTTAAGTGGGCGACCAATAGGTGGGTGGTGGCATAAATTAATTCCATGTACGATTCCATGTCGATTCTGCCACTATCATAGGTTTTAATTTCTTTTTGATCGGACCCGCATGGCCGGGCATCAGAATCAATTAAGATTGCAACTATTGAAAGTGAAAACGTGCAATGAACTTTCGTAGATTGCGCTTGATTGCCCCGGACAGCCCTCAGACACAGATACTTCTCAGGCAGAAAGGTAGTAGTCCGCCGCGAACAGGGTCCATTCATTCCGCTGCCCGTATTCCACAGTATTTGTATCTGTATCTCATATTTTCCCCGCTGCGGTTGCCGCTGTTGCCGCTGTTGCTGCTGTTGTTGTTTTTCATATTCGTCTGCCGTCAGTTAATTGGCTTAAATTAAGGTAGCGATCAAATGGCAACAGAACAAAGACTCTTATTGTGGGCAACGAAAAAACAAACAAACAGCCCAGCACTCGGCAACGCGAGCGGAGAAAGAAACTCCATTTTGTGAAGTATCTGCAGCGGCTCTTCTACCTTCTTAGATACAGATACAAAGTTGCCAGGAAAGAGATGAAGATAGGGTGGAAAGAGAGGGCAACCGAGTGACCCTCGACTGAACAAAGCAATCTTATTCTGTTTCTCTTTCTTCAGAGTTCTTTTCCGTCTTTTTTTCATTTCTGCCATGGTTGAACGCTTTTTTCAACTGATTAAGTCAACTCTTCTTGGGTATTTCAAGAGTACACTGAGAAAAACACAATAAGAATTTAAACTTGAAATAATACAAATATCTTTAAGCTTTCCCAAGTGTGCGTGAGTTTTTTCAAGTCTTTTTCGTTCTTTATTTTACGTATTCTTTTGCCTCTTGTTTCTGTTTTCTTTTCTGGATCCAGAAGACCCATGAGATCATCGGCTCTCTGGATTCCAGTCTTCCGTGAAGGCCTGCAAAGTTGATTTGCCACGAAATTAAGTCGATCCATGCGAGCCCTTGGCTGGAACCACCTCAGCCGCTCCCCTCAACACTCATTATGTTTTCCAAGCTCCTTGGCTCTGTTTTATGGTTCTTAAACGATCTGGCAGTTAATTTGTTTTTTCTCCATCTTTTGCCCCGCCACAGTTCCCGCGCTGGCCTCCAGTCTGCACCACCACAGCCACAACCAATCGCCGCACCACAGCAAGCCCGGACCCCAGGATGGCCAGCACGTGCAACCAGGTGCCGCAGCCGACGATTTTCTGGTCAACTGCACCCAGTGCCACAAGCGATTCACAGACTTCCACGTGAGTTTCCAGGAATTAGTTAAGAATTACAGAGATTCAAAAATCAGTTATAGGCTATACTAGTACCTTTCAAGAAAGATGTTTGGTTGTTAAAGTAGAAATTACATACAAGATTTATTAAAACTTAAGTCAACTGCTTAATTTATTTAATTTATTTTTAATTTTTTAGTCTCTGAGTGAACATATTGCCAGCGAGCATCCCCACGACAAGCTGAACTTGGGAGCCGCGCAACCGGAAAGCGAACCGGAAGATGAGCAGAGCAACTTGAGCAGCGGAAGTCGGCGGTATCTGAAATCGCCAACCACTAGTATTGGTAACACGAATGCCAACTCCAGCAACAACAACAACAACAGTGATCTGGCCAAGAACCACAACAATACCAACAAACGGTCGCCCATGTGCTCCCCCATTTCCAGCGTGGGAATGGGCGGTGTGGGAGCAGGTCCCCCCAGCGATCTGTTCGCCCACCTCTCGCATGCCACGCCCCAGCTGCCCGCCCTGCAAGCCCAGTTCATGGCCGCCGCCGCTCTGGCCATGCAATCCGCCCGCTCCGCCAGCTCCAGTTCGCCGAGCCACCAGCAGCAGTCGCAGCAATCGTCGCAACTGCAATACCACCAACAGCAGCAGCAGCACCAGCCGCCCCTGATGCCGCCCCAGCTCCCAGGTAGCAACAGCAGCGTGGGCAGCAACTCCGCCTACGATCTGGATCTGAGTGCACCACGATCCACCTCCAGTCCCGGCTCCACCACCGGGGACCTCAGCGGGGCCTACCCCTGCATGCAGTGCACCGCCGCCTTTGCCTCCAGGGAGCAGCTGGAGCAGCACCAACTCCTCCACTCGCCTTGCGGCCAGCCAGCCCCCCAGAATGTGTCACAGGTAAGCTTCAATAAAAAGACTTGGTTATAAAATAGATTTCTAAGGATTTGAAACTAAACCATGACTCAGGGAAGGAGTCTTATAACCTCAACCGTGAGTCAAAGGGGTTTTGTGGCTGATTTCAGAATTATTCGACATTTTGTCGTCCTCCAAAAGTAAATTTCCGATAAAAAAATACATCTCTTCAAACAAGTATTCGAAGTATGATTCAGTATTGCGATATTTTGGCTATCACTTGCGGTTTGTTACCCCAGTTTTGTGTCGAAATGTTGATAAGCTTGCTTCGAAAACACGGTGACTAAATCCGAGGAATTCTGTTTCTTTTTCCAGAAAAACTGATTAGGTTTAAATAATATTCTTTATTATTCCCCTGGGCTTCTGGTTTTTTCTTGGAATGGCTTACGTGTTAAAGTGCGTGCATCGTCATACATATAATCTGTGGCTGGGAAGAAAGAAAAAAGTGATGGGGAAAAAACCTAAAATGGCCGGGCCAGAGGTTCTCCACTTGATCTTTGAACACACACACGCGGACACACGGACACACGGACACAGGGACACGCGGACACACCGACGTTGAACACAATGCGTGGGCTTTGTTCGTGGTTAACGGGAAATGAGTAAATGATAACGGGAGAGCGCTGCGGTGCCAAGTACAGAATCCAATCCCATAAAGTCAGATCCAAGTCTCGAGATTCAAGTAAAAACCTTATGCATATTTCCTGTTGACAAAACTCGGTTATAGAAACATTTAAGCAACGGGAATTATTATCGCCTGCATTTTCATAGATGTATGGATGGATGTATGGGTATACTTTTTTTATCGGCCAAAACAACAAGAACACTAAACTATGATAAGAGGCAGCAGTGAGGCATAAAAACAAAACGTAGGCGTTACCGAACTAAGGAGAAATAGTAAATACGTATAAATTCCCAAATGACGCGACGGAGAAAAACAATTGGGGGTGTTATCAGGAGGGGAGGGGCATAAAAAAAAGACCCACATATACACTTGTATACAGGGATACTGTCAGTCACACGCTCATAACTCCCAATTGTGCAGTTGTTGTTTCTTTTTTTGTGTTTCTAAGGCCTAGCCACAGTCTGGCCTGCCATTGTGATAAGGCATTAAAATAAATGTTGCTACAGGCAAGCCGACCTGATAACACCTACCCCACACGCCTCCGCCCACTTGTTTTTCTCGCCTCCTTCGGCTTGTCCTTCCATCTTGGGTTTGTTTTCATAAACGAGAGAGGCTGTAAAAAAGAAAATTCTGGCCTGCCTCAGACGTCATATGTGATAAGACCAGAAAAAATAAAAGAAAAAACCTGCAAGTCGGAGGGGTAAGGAACTGAGGCTCTGGTTCACCTTGGGGCTACCCAGCGGCTATTAAAGCCACATAAATTATAATTTTGTTGCATTCCCCCAATCTAGCTGAGCACTCCTCAGCCCCCAAAAAGGGAAAAAACTTTTCCCCACCCTATAGGGCTGGTCATAAATTCATATGACTAGTTTGTTGTTGTTTTTTATGGATGCTGCTCCATTTTTTCTCTTTTTTTTGGCTGTGTGGCATCATTTACCTTTCCCTATATGAAACAAGTGAAATGAAAAAGTTTGATACACAAACCATGAAAAAAAATCATATTAGAGACAGTGGGATATGTTTTGGTATAATATATACAGAAGAAATACTAGAAATTACATAGAAATACTCTCGAATTTATAAAACTGCTTTCATATAAAAATCTACATTTTTAATAATTTTCATAAAATTATTACCACTGTGCTCTACTTTTCTCCTTTTTCTTGTATCTCTCCGTTTTTTCTGGTCTGCATGTTATTAATATTTACCTAAGCTGGAATGATTGCCAGAGCTTGGCTAGAAAGCTAATAAAGCTGGCCAACTCATATGTGATGAAGTGCAGGTTTATGAGTTGAAACTCTTGAAATCCCTCTCCACCTTTCGAATCATAGTGTTTGAGGGTGCATATGAATAATTTACGGCTATTTTAATGGCGTTTAAACACATGCGAAAATGGCCAAAATGGCAAAAGTGGCAACAAACTACAAACTGACCCAGACTCCCCACTGAACAAACCAATTATAATTGATGTGGCACATTGCATTTATTTAATATTGTTGGCCAATGGCTTTACACGTGTTCGCCGTATTAAATTATTATGTGTGAAAACAATTAATTATGCGGCAAACAAAAACAGTGCCCGAAATAACAATAAGGCTGACTGCCAACCGACAGTGACAGTGAAACAAATTGCTCATTATGGAAATCACGCTGCCGACTCACAAAAGTAGGCAACAATGTGCATTTTTTTGCACACTTGCCACATTTATTGAAAAGGCATTAAAATCGGCCGCAGGCGCTGACAGGGCGATAGGCAAGGGGGGGTCGGGATCAATCCGTATTGGGCAGCCAACATTGTTGATGCAACATTTAACATTTGTTGTTAAGGTCAACATCATTAACCGGGGGGCAGGAGTCAAATGGCGGGCAGGCGGTCGAAGCAAACGGCAGCACATAAATTATGGCTCGAAAAAACACCAGCCAACACAAAGGGGAGGTCCTGGCAAACTTTCAGCAGAAAAAGTGCAGCAATTAAATATTTGCTTAACTGCACAAGCACACAAAAGTACACACACATCCAGTCACGCAGCCGAATGGTGCAACTTTTTGGCCACAACTCATTTGGTGGGTTGGCTGGCTGGCTTTTTGTTGTTTTCTGCCACCTTTTGGTGGCCACCGCCACAAAATGGAGCAGGGCAGACAATTCAAATTGAAAAATTATATGCACTTTAGGTGTAGTCCTGCGGGTCCTGTGCGCCCGTCGAGTCCTGCCATCCGCATGGGTCGTCGTCTTTGCGGCGCCGCTTGACGAACGGAGCCAGAGAAAAATTAATAGCAATTTATTTAACGCCCCTCTCGCAACCCTTGCTTGAGCTTTTTTTTGTAACTCTACTCACTTTTAAATGTATTTTTATGTAAGGTCAAGGGTGGGGGGATGTGGCATTTAGTGCTGTTAAAAGTTTAAAAATTATTTGCAATTAAGGCAAACAAATTAAAAAAGTTTCCCAGCCAAATGCTTTAAATACATAATAATTGCCTGTGAACTTTAAAATAATTTTTAAATCACTCTGATTTATGTTCCTGGGAATTTATTTTATTTTTTAAACCATTTTCATTTTTTAATAATTACTTGTCAAAATAATTTATGGTCTTCCTATTGATGTGTCTCTATTTTTACGACATCATCATCATCATCATTGGGAGTTCCTGTTTCCTGAAGGATATCCCCTCCTGGATTTCCACCTGCACTTTCCACATGTCGGCCACTACGACGGGCCACAATTTAAACTTCTTGGTCGTTCCTCTTGTCTTTCAGTTCAATTTCTTTTTCATTTTTAAGTTACTCCTGAGATTTATATCAACTTTCACCGTGAGGGCCATAAATTATGTGGCTCTGCTTGTGGCAGTTTCTCACATGGAAATTCCTTGGACGGTTTCCCCCTCATCGGATTTTCTCCAGCGAGTCCCGTGGGTTTTTTCACTCATGACGTTTATTGTGCGGTTGTTACTTGATATGTTTAATGAGAAATGCGCTGTTCTTCGGGTGATGGGAGAAAGGGAATTGGAAAGTTGGAACCAGGGCCCTTGTCTTCCCTATACATACATATATAGTGCTGGAGCACTTGACATTTTAAGGGGAAGTATGATTGTGCGAAGAAATTGTTATAAAAGTATTGGAAATTGTAGTTCTTAGAGAAATATTTGTTTAGTATTTATAACTTAAATATTTTTATAGTTCCAGCAATCCATAAATAAATTTTATTAAAGAAGAAATTTTTATAATAGACGGGGAAATTATGGTTCTAAGAAGGTAGATCATTTTATTTTTATTTAAATTGAATTTATTGTTTCTAGAAACCAGCAATCCAGCACTGACCTTAACAGCTGCTGGGAAATAATCATAATTTTAATTTTTGGAAGACACGTTTCCTTAATTTCCCAAGACCCACATCTTTCTCGTCTACCACAGGCTTTTATCAAAAGTGATAAATTTTATTTATGCCGCCAAGTTGCCTAATTTATGTTTTCCTAATACTCAACTAATTTCGCAGGTCTCTTGGCTGAGAAAAAAATCAGAGCATCAGGCATCATTGAGAAAAACGTTTTATTTATAAACAATTAAGTTTGATTTGTCGCTGGGTCTGGCGAATGAAAAGCGAAACAGATTTTGAGAAAATTTCCCGGCAACAGATGAACTCGATATGATTTATGGAAAATTAATAATTTTAAATCCCAGCAGATACTTGGGTGTATCTGCATTTTGTTGTCTGCACAAAGCGAACCATAAAATATTGAGAAATGCGGCAGCCGAAATGACCGCAATGGCTAAAAGTATTTCCCTGTTAAATGCGCGTGTTAATCAATTTTCATTTCCCAATGGAATTAATTCTGAGATGATCGCACAAGCCCAGCAACGAAAGTTAATGAACTCTCACTGACCGAACTACGTAATACACACTCATTGTCCCAGCACCATACAGACAATAAATTAACCGAGCCCGACTCGATTCCGATTCGGAGTCTGATTTTGAGCTCTACCTCTTGGGGCTTATCAGCCTCTCTATTCCCAGGCGTGATCTGGCCAGATAACCCCATTGGACCTCTGTATTCTAGGTACTACAATTAGTTCTGTCTCTGTCTCCGGCAAGGTACGTCAATGGTCCATGTGTGTGGGGGATTCATTCATTTGAGATCTGTGGGCTAATCAGTCGTATTCCAATTTCGAATCCAATCCACTTCCACTCCATCTTTTTATTTTCAGTTCTATTTTTCTTCGCGGTGACAGCTGCGGTGCGATAAGCTAAAAATTGGGTCGCTTATTCGCTATAAAGTAGTTAGATCAGACATATAATGTTCGTCGTATTTTTTCACTCGCTTTTCATCTTTTTGTTTTTTTTTTTTGCGCTAAACATTTCTTTGTGGCGTCGTTAATATTATTATTTCTTAGCTGACCTCAAAAAGAACAAAATAGAATAAAACAAAAACAGAAGCAGAAAACTTTGAGCTTGTCGCTTGTTGTTATTTTTGTTTACGCATTTCGTCAGGCGACAGGTGCGCTTCTATATCTATCAGATACTATACGTCCACATTTTTTCGAAAAACAGTGGGTTGAGATTTATTTTAAAAAGGTAAAATGCTTTTAAAAAACGAAAAAAGTATATTTTAGACATTATATGGCCCTTTTCAAAACAAAAATATTTTTATACTTTATGTCTTTCTGCTTGAGTTCCCACTGTACTTGTGACATCGGTATTTTGTCAACATTGTTGCCTGCCTTTGGGCTTGTCACTTTGAAAGGCAACCGATCTCCCTTCGGTCGATCATCTTTTACGGCCAATTATGCTCGCTATTATGGCCAAATTCCCATGTCACTCACTGCATAAAGCATTTCCACCCAGCAATCGTGAAATACGTTCACAAATTAGCTCTCTGTCTCCGACACGACATTATCTTTCTATATCCCAACAGTGTAAGAGTGTGCGTGGGGGGGTAGTCTCGTTCGTTTGATTTGTCTATTAGTGGGCCTGAGACGTTTTTGGCCCGGTCCAACTAGGCAGGCGCCCACCTACGTTGCGGTATAATTATAGCCAAAGGCTTGTCGCCCACAATTAACCAGGCTAAAATGCAGCCGCTGGACCATCCTGACATTATAATTCAACTTGACGAGTGCTTTGAAGCCGATCCGTTCGGGTGGTCTTGCCAATTTCCGGCTCAATTTCTCGGTCTGTCATTCGTGCTGATAAGTATTCTTGTTGATGATAAGAATACATCCCGCTGAGTTACAACCGAATTGAATGTTTACTCTTCTGCTCACCTGATCATAGTTCCTTGGAGAGATACTTATAGAGCTAGTTGTGTCGGTAATCCGCAAACTCATCCCGTCCCTGATCCGCTTTATTTGTTTACGCACCACACGCGCCTCTTTCGGATTGATTGAGTAGCAGATAAGGTGGGTCTTATCAGTTCTGAAATACCCCGAATATTCTTCCATTTATGGTGAACTAGAATACATGGAAATATAAATAATAAAATCATTTCTGATTAAAAAATGATCATTTAATTAATTTCACAAAATAATTCCACCACCTTTCACCCCTAATAATAATAAAATATAATTTCTTTCGGTGTATTGAACAAAATTCCTCTGAAATGTAATTAATTAAGAAGCTACCCAGCAACATGTGGCAAAGAAAGGGAGAGCGTGTGCGTGGCCTAACGGAGCTAATGCCACAGAGGTTAGGCTGTACCTTACCACTCGAGTGGGTTAGCTTCGAATTCCATGTGCTCGCCGCGACCACTCGCTTAGGGGAATCAATCAATTTCCAACTTTAGCTCAAGTGGGTCCCCCTAAAATCCACTTGAGTCATCCCTCTCCGGCTGGGACGGCCGTTGCCGGGGATTCTGCCCGTCAGTTAACCCCGGGGGCGGGCATCTTCGGTGGGGCTTTTGTTAAAGGTAGCTTCAATTGGCATTTCCGCTGCCAGTTCATCGCAAATATAATAATAACAAACCGCAAAAGCAACAACAAACGCATAAGAATCCGGCTGACGCATCACAAATGGAACTTACCTTTTGAATACGTGTGCACTATTGGCTGTGCTGGTGTGTGTTTAGTATCTGTGTGCCGTATCTCACGGCTGCCATTTTCATTTCCATTTCGTTTGCACTGCGCCTCGCTTACATTTAATTGATAACAGCGACGACAACAAAGCCCCACCATTGTTAGCTGCGGTTTAATGTCCGTTCAGGGAGGTGTGTGCAGTGCTACCTCGATAATGCTCAGTAATAATACAGCTATAAATATTTTCGAATAATAAGTTACAAGAAAAACTTAAATTCAAGTCATTATTGTAGTGGTTGGGCTAAAACCAACAAACGACAACCTGATTAACCGCTTTATGCGGAATGTGTGTGCGCCAGAGCGGGATGGACATAGTCCAACTTCGGCATGGCAGCAGAGATAACGGGTTTACGATTGTTAGACTTTGTATGCGAGCGAGAGAGGCCAACAGGTGGCCATTTTACCTTTTCCAGTCATTCCGCTCACTCTCACCTGACATTCTGAAGTGGCTAATGGCCGCCGAGTGCCGGGGATGACGTCATCAAATGGCTGCAAGAAGCGTGGCAGGTAGAACAACAAAGGAGAGGAAACGGAAATTGTTATTGCTGTCGAAACGATGAGAAAAAGCATTTTCCGTTTTGTTTTTTAAAAACACAAAGAAATTAGGAGGCCCGCTATAACAGTATTATTTTTCCACAACACACTGAGAAAATAAACACAGTGTCACGTTAGTGTACGAACTAATTACGACACATAATAATAGTTTGTCGAATATAAGGGGACTTGTGATCTCATCCCGAGTGTGTAAATTGTTTTTATGCGTTGATGATAATGACTAATGGCGCAATATGCGAACGGCGTTAATTGAAATTCATGAGTAACCATAACCCCGATGAGGTGGCAAACAGTGGATGGGTGGATATAAAATTTAAAGGAATTCCATCAAATACCCTATTGCTACAGCGGGGTTCACAAAAGTAAAGCCATGATCGTTCCGAAAATAACAAATATTTTTCCCAAGGAGGAAAAATAGGGAAGGTGAGATAACAATAACGGGAAAGTTCAACGCCTGACCGGTAAACAACACAAAATAATCACACTCGTAAGGGTGGGGGCTGCCAGTGGAGGGGGCGGGACAACACGTGTTGCCATCTGTCCGGCAAGCGCCGCAAATCTTTCATCGCATCCGCTAAGTGGAAAATCGAAAAAGTAAAAATATATTAATGCCGTCTATGGCTCTACTTTCGTTTTCACTTTACACCGCTCCACCTTTAACAACAACAACAACAGGAGAGCTGCATGTGATGCGTTCAATTTGTTGCCAAACAAATCAAATCACAAAAGAACAAACAAAAGCCTAAAAAAAAAATTGATTAGCATCAGCTGTTGAAACATTTGATGTGATTCCGGTGCACTTTGTTTATTTAGAGAGCTTTTGTTGATGTTTGGCTTGTGTTTTTTCATGTCCGTTTTGTCGCAATTTTCCAATTGAAGTTTAATTTAAAATTGAGATCCACAGCTGAGCGCAGCTTGTTCTCTCGCGCTCCCACGCTGTGGGGTCTTTCTGTTGTGTTTTTCCTTCTCACCTTCACTCCATCTTTCTCTCATGAAGTACTATGGGAATGGCTTTCAATATTTGGCCCAAAATATATTGATAAGTAATAAATATATTTGGTATTACCAATACTTTTATTTGTAAATTTAGAGTTTTAATTAAAAAAATATATATTTTCCTATTGGATGTTAGAAGAAACTAATAAATAATCTTCTTGTATTTATTACTATTCTATTTCGCCCAACGAAAGTGATCTTTGGTCCCACTGTACCCCTCTTCTTCTTCGTCTTCTTCTTCGCGTGCGTTATTTCTGGGCGCGTTGTTTCCTTTCGTCTTACGCTGCTGGCGGCAGTCGGTTAATTGAAGTTTACTCGTTGTTATTATCGTAGTTTTATGAGTTTCGTTTGGAAAACGTTTGGCTGAATCACAAAATATCAAAATATCATAGAAAATATCATCTGTGCGATTTCGAAACGCACCGAAAAAACATGCAAACACCAAAGTCGCCTCGTTTTGGGCGGTCGCTTTTGATTTGGCCTGCTTTGCGGTCTCGTTTTTTGCCTTGAAGCAAATTAGAAAGCCGTTAAAATTAAGACAAATAAATACGCCTGTTGTTTTAAACAGTTTTTATTACCTGTGCTGTGTGCTGTGCGTTGGTGTACAGCTTTCAGTTGAGGGAAACCAGCAGAAGAAGACTCTGGCCAAATGTCAGCTTCAGCTGTTTCTGCTCTGGCGGAGTCTCTGTTTGAAGAGGTAACGCCGCCATAGTGCTATATCTTCCCAACAACCAGAATTCCACGTAATAACATGTTTTCCTTCTTCTTTCAGACCTGCCGTATCTGCCACAAGGCCTTTGCCAACGTCTACCGACTCCAGAGGCACATGATCAGTCATGACGAGAGCGCCCTTCTGCGGAAATTCAAGTGCAAGGAGTGCGACAAGGCCTTCAAGTTCAAGCATCACCTCAAGGAGCATGTGCGGATCCACTCCGGCGAGAAGCCCTTCGGCTGTGACAACTGCGGCAAGCGGTTCTCCCACTCGGGAAGCTTCTCCTCCCACATGACCTCCAAGAAGTGCATCAGCATGGGCCTCAAGCTGAACAACAACCGGGCTCTGCTAAAGAGATTGGAAAAGGGTCCGGGATCGGGCTCGTCGTCACGCCTCTCGCCCTCGGACCAGGCCAAAGGCAAGCTCCAGGAGCAACCGCCCCTGCCGGGTCTGCCGAACCCCATGATTTACTTTGCCAGCGATGCTCAGAACCAGGCGGCCAACAATGGACCCGCGTCCTTCCCGAACTTCCACCACACAAACTACATGAATGCTGCCCTACTGGCCTTTCCGAATCCCTTCATGGCCGCCCTGGATCCTCGAATGCATCCCTACAGCATTCAGCGATTGCTTCAATTGACGGCTGCAGGCCAGCAACAAAGGGAGGAGGAACAGCGGGAGCAGGAGATCCAAGAGGAGGAGACACCCGAGGAACCCAAGCTGGTGATGGATATCGATGAGCCGGAGGTTAAGGAACGGGCTGCCACTCCTCAAGAGCATGAGGAGGTCGCTCCCATTAAGCGGGAGACCAGCCGCGAAGCATCTCCTGCTCCGGAAAGCAATCCCCCATCGCCGCAGGTCATCAAACAGGAACCGGAGGTACAACCGCTAGAACCAGAGCCCCAAGTCATGGAGGAAGAACCCATTCCAGCTCCAGAACAGCCTGCCGATTTGCGCTGCAGTCGCTGCTCCAAGCAATTCAACCATCCCACGGAACTGGTGCAGCACGAGAAGGTTCTTTGTGGCCTCATCAAGGAGGAGATGGAGCAACATTTCCAGCAACAACAACAGCAGCAGCAGCAGAGCCTACAAGCCCCAGCCTTCGTCCTGCCGTCCGCCAGCGAGGAAGATGAGGAAGAAGAGGAGGAGGAGCCCAGGAACCAGGAGACTGGCGAGCGAAAGGTCCGCGTGCGCACGGCCATAAACGAGGAGCAGCAGCAGCAACTGAAGCAGCACTACTCCCTGAACTCCCGACCCAGCAGGGATGAGTTCCGCCTGATAGCGGCCAGGTTGCAGCTGGATCCCCGAGTGGTGCAGGTGTGGTTCCAAAACAATCGCTCCCGAGAGCGCAAGATGCAGAGTTTCCAGAGCAACCAAAGCGCCACAGTCCCTCCCACAACCGAGTCCCAGTCCAGTGCATCTCGTGAAGACCAACCTCTGGACCTGTCTGTTAAGCGCGATCCTCTGACCCCCAAGAGTGAGAGCTCCCCTACTTATATGCCTCCGCAAACGGCCGAAGCTCTCAACCCGGAAGCCATCAACCTGAGCCGGAAGTTCTCCAGCTCAGCTTCGATGTCACCGGCTTCGATTTCACCCTCATCCGCGGCAGCTTTGTATTTTGGAGCCGCACCGCCGCCGTCGCCGCCCAACAGCCAACTGGAGGCCAATACTCCTCGCAATAACCAGGCCTTTCCGGGACTTCCTGCCTACATGCTTCCCATGCAGCGGCTGCCCATGGAGGCGCTTTTCCAGATGCGACCAGGTGGCGAGTATGCACCGAACCATCCCCTGATGAACAGTATTAAGCTGCCCGACTACCGAGGCACCAGCCTCAGTCCGGGAGGATCGGAGAAGCGCTCGTGGCGGGACGATGACTCGCGCATTTCGCACGAGGACGACTTCTCTGGTGGACTGCTGCCCCCCAAGCAGAGGAGGGGCAAGGCGGAGACCCATGGACACGCCGGCGATCCGGACTTGCCATATGTCTGCGACCAGTGCGAGAAGGCTTTCGCCAAGCAGAGTTCCCTAGCGAGGCACAAATACGAGCATTCCGGTGAGTTTATAACTTGCGATCCTCCTCGATCTTAGATCCTAATTATTCTATTTTTCCAAAAAACAGGTCAACGACCCTACCAGTGCATGGACTGCCCCAAGGCCTTCAAGCACAAGCACCACCTGACGGAGCACAAGCGCCTCCACAGTGGGGAGAAGCCCTTCCAATGCTCCAAGTGCCTGAAACGGTTCTCGCACTCGGGCAGCTACAGCCAGCACATGAACCACCGCTACTCCTACTGCAAGCCCTACAGGGAATAGGTAAGCGACACCTCAGTGCCGCCCACCTGCCCACCAGGAGCAGTTCCTCAGCCGCCTGGAGGAGGAGCACCACCCCAGCCGACGCCAACCAACCGCGGTCGCCGCCGAGTGCAGGCCGGGAACAACGCCTATCCGCCGCATTCGCATCCACACCACCCACATTCGCATCCTCTGGCTGCCATGGCTGCCTTCCAGCACCAGCAGCAGCAACAACAGCAGCATCGTGTACCCTGGCCAGGAGCCGGGGTGATGCTGCCGCCTCCGCCAAACCAACAGCAACATCGTCCGCCGGCGCCGCACCCACCGCCTTTGCTGTCGGGAGCGGGCTTTCCGCAGACACCAGCGCAGTTTTTCCACCACCATGCTGGCCTGCTGCCCCCGCCACCGCCGCCCTCAGCACAGGCCCCACCCTCGTCCACGCCCGCCTTTGACTTCTTCAACGCCAAAATGTTTCCTCCCAACTAAGCTAACAGAGGGGGCATGTACAGGCTAGCCATAAAATGTTAAGTTTAACATGGTTGCTGTCCAGGGTTAGCAACAGTGCCATAAACAGCTACTGCACTTACAGGCTGTACTTAAAAAGAAAAACCGAAGAACGAAAAATCTCAAAATGTGCAGGAACACACACACACCACACCCCAAAGATATGCACTTTAGGCAGATTACATAAAAAAGATGAATATTTTTTATAGCCATATAACCTAAAAAGAGCAGCGAGAAGCCGTTGAGAAAAATGTAAACCTTTCGTTTGAGCGAATTTATTATTTTATCATGTTAAAAGCAGTTTGTTTTTAGTATTTTTTATATTTTAATTTACGTCTCATTACATTATCGTCTAAGTTTTAGCTGAGAGCCGAGAATTGATTTTATTTTTGGCCCAGCCTCGTTTACGGATATAGGCTTAATTTTTATAGTTCCAGGAGCTGGATCCCAGTACCAAGTGCTGCAGAATACTCAAGATTCGTTTGAATGCCACTCCTTGATGGAATAAATGTACATTTTTTATGATTATGTATTCGTTCTAAGTTTAGTTATTGAGCGTTCGAGCCAGGCAGGGTTTATCATCGCAATCCCGCTCGAAGTGAATTTTCCACCCACAACCTCCGGACCAATCATAGCATGAAAATTAGAAAACTAAAATACAGACAATACCCCAACAAGACCAGATGAAAAGTATTAATCAGCGAAACTGTATTAGAACCACCATATGCACATTGTAAAGTCGTCAAGCCCCCCTCATAGTTTATTTAAATGGAAAACCCACCGCTTGCAGCGCGTTTCAAACTCTCTTACTTAAGGATAGTGCCCCAAAAAGAATTCTTCTCGAACTAAGACGCTTTAAAGTTTCCCGCCCTAACACCTAACTCTTAACCCAAAAATCGCGAAAAGAGAATACCTACAAGATCATTCCATTTGGCCAGAGCCGCGCCCCCCCCCAAAGGTGCAACTCGTGCATTTAGGCCTCCGGCTGCCGCTTGCCAATCGACAGACGTTCGTAAAGCCATACGCTAACCCCCTAACTCTAAATCTAATTCTAACTACACTTACTAACTAATATTTAACATATATACATACGAATGAAAAACTTAATTTGGCCTTATTAACGATTATTTAGCGACTAATTCAAACCCGAACGTTTGAGATTATTCGAAACTAGTGTGTAAAAATTAAAGGAAAATCTTTGGAAAAGTCTCGCAAAAATCTATTAGCAAAATTCCGTGTGCGTATTAATGTAAAAATTAAAAAAGAAAAAGATAAAGAAACAAAAACCAAAAATCCCTATTTAACTATCAAAGTGTTTGCCATGACAATAAATTTACGACTATGTAATTGATAATGCTTTCGATTCCAGTTCTAGCCAAAAACCAAAAATGAGAATGTGTAAGAAATGTCAACTTCAATTCTAATCGTTTTAGTCAGTCTCAAATTATTAATTATTAACTTAATACAAACAAGGTTTCCAGAACAACGAACATTTCTTTATTGATCTTTAACTCTTGGTCCAAGGAATTTTCGCCATGATTTTCTTGCTTTTCCAGACAAAAACAAAAACGACAAAAAAAAAGAAAAAGTACCGAGCAACTCACAAAAAAAAATGCATTTAATACTTAATTAATTTTTATATATATTTGTATTTTTAAATGGTGAAGATCGGAGGAGATCGTTGGAGCGGCGATAAGTATATATATATATATGTGTAAATACATATATTTTTTGTAAATTATTTCGCAAGAACAAAAGCTAGAGAATCCAAAACAAAAAACAACGCAAACTGTTAAACTCGAGTTGAAATATTTCAGATTTCAGAATACAGCCAGCACATGTTTAGCATAAATTTAACAATAATCATTATTACTACAGTAAATACTTAGCCTAGTTAAAGAAAAGAAAACCCCCTTAAAACCATAAAAAACAGAATGTTAAATTAAACACTAAAAAACACTTATTTTTAAGCGCGAATACTATGCGGTTTGTGATGGAGTTGAAGTTGCCAGCATGGATATTTGCACTCTAGGGCCTTATATGAGATACACACACTACACTACACTACACTCGTAAATAAACATAAATTGTTAGTTATTTAAATTATATGATAAACACACACACAACCACACACTTAATTGGAGGACGAGCCTTGCATCGTTTAAATCTGTTCCACCCAAGCCCCCAAAAATGTTTTTTTCTTTTAGATCCCACTCGAACCTCCGCATCGCTGTTAAAGTTGTTCACCTCACTGTATTTTTGTGTAAATATGCGGAGCAGGAGCCGTACTTGTATTATTTGTTTTTAATATTCTATGTTCAACAATAGCGATCCCTAAGTTACCTTTAAGTACCACCCCTCGTTGAAACGGCATCAAATGTTCATTTTATTGCTCGACAAGAACACCCGCTACAAACATCCGAAAAAGTAACCAAAAAATATTGAGAGATCGAACAGCACGATTCAAGTAACTTATATTTCAAATATTACGCATAAATGTATTTTAATCAAAATAAGAAACGATTCAATGGATAAAAATGCATTCATATAAATGAATAAAACCTTTTTGTCTTGATAAATTTACAAACCATTATTATAATTATTAAATTTACAATGTGAAAACAATAAACAAAAAAAAGGAAATTATTAAAAATTTAAACAAATGATTTATTATTTTGGGAGGTAAACAGTTTCGGGGATACATTTTTCAGATTATTCATCGTGTTTGAACGTGCATTTCTAAAAATAGCTAACCCCAAAGATGAAAGTTTAATCATTAAAATCTCCTAGAGAACAAAAATTTTAACTCCAGGATCCAAGTAACTCCAATCAAAGGAAACAATGTTTCGTTTATTTATCAAATTATAATACATAATCCAACTATATGTCATTTTTGGGTGCTACATACTTTAGGACAAACTTCTTTGGGACGATTCATCGTTTTTAAACATGCATATCTAAAAAAGCTTTCCGCAATGGGATAAACTTTCTGGAAAAACAAAAACGCAAAGGATCCATTGAACTTCAATTTATTAACACCTTTTGTTATTTATTTTAATATATCAAAAATTGATTTGTTTATTTGGGTTGTTATGCTTCTTGTGGTGCTACTTATTTGAGACGATTTACGAATCGTGTTTAAACAGTTCTAAAAAATTCATTTTCATTCATCAAAATTCAAAAATTCAAAAAAAAAATTCATGCATTTTTAAAAAAATTAATCTCAAAAGGGGAAACTAACCTCTCTTAAAGAATAAGAACTTAAAAGATCCATAAAAATCCAATTTCAAAACCCAATGATATGGTCATTTTAAAATTTCAACAATTGATTAGTTTTTTTGGGTGGTCTATATGATATCCAAGGATAGTCATTCCAGACGATTCATCTCGTTTGAACATGCATTTCTAAAATATGCTCACCCAAAAGTTTAAACTCTCTTAGAAAAAAAAAACTCAATGGATCCAAGGAACTCCAATTAAAAGAAACAGTTTTTTCTTCATTGACAAATGAGGATACTCATTTCAGACGATTCATCGTGTTTGAACATGCAAAGAAATGCATGTTTAGGAAAACAAGCTAACCTCAAAAGGTTTAACTTTCTTGGAGAATAAAAACGCAAGACATATATCAAATTCCAATTAGAATACCGAACAATTGATTTGTTATTTTGTTATATGTTTTTCAGGTTTTGGTATTTCGGACGATTCATCGTGTTTGAACATCCATTCCCTAAAACTTTAACCCTAAAAAGTTAAACTTTCTTCAAGAACCAAAACCCAAGGGACCCATCAAAATCCAATTAAAAAACCCAATTTTTTGTTAATTTGAAAATTTTAATATAAGCTCTCTTTGAGAATAATGTCCATTCTTTTGGACATAGTACTTCCTTTAGACGATTCTTTCTTGTTTGAACATGCTTTCGTAAAAAAGTTAACCTCAAAAGGTGGAACTGTCTTCCAAGGCCCATATAACCCCCCAATTGAAAAACATTTAATTTTTATAAATTTTCTTCTCCATTTATTAATTTGTTTTAGTAAACTAATTGGCCAAGGCACACACAGAGTTTTTCATATCAATTCAATTTCAATTTGCTTGCGCTCTCATCTCACATTTAAAATATTTTCAATTTATATATATATATATTTAGGTAGATATATAATCATAGTAATAAACACACGCACATACAAACTGAGGCTAATTAAATAGAAAAACAAATTGTTTCCAGCTTAGCAATTTCCAACGAACCTACTAAAAACAAAAAAATTGATGTACTCTCGCTTAAGTGTTAGAAATTAAACTAAATTATGGTTAGCGGTCTCTATAAACTAAAAAACATCTTAGGGCGCTAGACAACTTTACCATAAATTATAATTAACGTTTGCTTTACAATGTTACATTTAAAAAGATTACAATTTCCATAGCTTTCATCGTCTCGATTACTTCTCGATATCTGTTCATAGTAGAGAATTAGTGTTGAATTCTTCTCCGTTTCGTGCGGATCTAAACAGTTTGGTTTGGCGTTCAACAAGTTGGTCTAACATTGCTAGATATGTGTACATAGGTATATCTAAGTTTGTTCTTTTCCGTTTTAGTATAGGTATAGGTGATGGGAGGACACATTTGAAGACTTTTCCATGAGCAGTGATTGATGGATTGGCAGAAAGCCACTGAACTGTGATCTTTTCCCCTAGATTAGGTTTTGATAAGGCTTATAAGACCCGCTTATATCGCTGCCGTGCGACTTTTGGTCTCCGCATCTCCGACGCCCGCACCTCAATCCCACCAAGGAGTGGGATGGAGCTGCTGCTCAATGGTGTGGACCAACCAGCCTGCTGAGTTGAAGCCACGGACCATCGATCGGAGGGTGGAAGAGAAGGAAAGGTTGGTGATGGGTAGGACTTGGGTAAATTCGCGATCTCGTTTCGGTTTTAAGGCATTTTGTTGCTTAGCTTTGAGCACGCACCAGAAAGGTAACATTTTCCAGTTGGTCCCTCTTTCTTCACTAACAGTACAATAGTTTAATGCATAACGATTTGGGAGTAGTATAAAGGATGGTATGCCAGCTAGAAGGCCGCGGTCCGGGCTTCTATTCTGTTTCGTTATTAAATTTATTCAGTTCATGCTCTCAAGCATACCTATGATATATGTATATTCTGTAGGTATATGTGTAGTTGCTTCGCTACTTTCTCCTATAATTTATATAATATATATAGTTTTCATTCTGTAGTCACGCACTCGCGAAAACCCGCTCAACATTTCATCTTTCTTTTGTGACTATTTGACTAACAATGAGTGTGGGGGGAGGGGGCGCTGGTGGTGGGTTGGGGGCGGGGTGGGGATAACAATCAGCCTCAGACGTAGACCGGCGCCTGATCATCCGGTATATCCGGATGCTGCTTGTCGTCGAAGAATCGCCTAAAGGTAAATTCGAAAAATCCGTGAAACTGCCGATCGTTCAGGTCGATGTCGTCGCCGCTGCTCATGTTGGAGTCGTTGGAGCGCAGCTTTTCCGGGTCGACAGGATCAAAGTTGGACGTATCCGTTGGATGCTTGATTTCCGGGATGAACGGCGCCCGCTGCTTCCGCATGTCCGCAAAATCGATGCCCTTGAAGAAGTCGTGGCCCTTAACTTCGTCCACACTCTTCCCTAGTCGCTTGTCCGCCGAGGCACAAAGTCGTCGGATCAGATCCGTGGCTTCGCGGGATAACTCTGCCTGTGGCGGTATGTGAAGCGTCTTTTCCCAATTAATGACCTGCAAGACAAGCCCAAGGTTACTACCATGTTCGCAAAGGATTAGGCTAATAGTTCCAACCTTTTGCTGCGTCTCCAAGGGACTGTTGGCCAAGAAGGGCGGCTGCCCCACCAGCATCTCGTAGAGGATCACACCCACGCTCCAGTAGTCGCAAAGCTGCGTGTATCCGCTTCGCTCCAGCACCTCTGGCGCTATATAGTTGGGTGTGCCCACTAGGGAGTGGGCCAGGACTCTTTGGTGATCGCGCATGCGTCGTCTGGAAGATAGAGATCAGTCATGCCATGACTCATAAGCATTCTTTCAACTTACCGCTCCAGCACAGTGGGCTTTGGACCGTTCTCCGAGTATTCCTCCCAAGGCTCCATTGAATCCTGGCGCGAGTGGTTTCCTGCAAGGATCATAACATGATTATCAGTTTGGGATTTAAGGATTACACTCCAATCTTACCATTCTCCTGGTAATACTTCGAGTTGTGAGTCCATCGGAAGCCGGTGCACAGGCCGAAATCGGTGAGTTTGATGTGTCCGTCCCTGTCGATGAGTATGTTGTCAGGCTTGATGTCTCTGCGGGGAAATAAAAAGGCATTTAGTTAATGTTCTGGCGACTTAAGACATATACTATCTAATGAAAGGCCTTGGCATATTTGAAATGTTTCTGTCGAAAAATTAAAAAGTCGTAAAGCCAGTCGTAAATTTTCTAATTTGTCAGGGTTTATGGCTTTGAAAAATAAATAAAAATAATAAAATAACTATTTGTGGAACGAGGGCCATAAATATTCATCTTATTACTGTTTTGAAACAAATCCTAATCTCAAAATCTTAGATATTCGATCAAGTACCTGTGAATGAAGCCCATTTTGTGGACGCTGTCCACGGCGCAGGTGACTTCGGCGATGTAGAACCGGGCCAGTTCCTCCTCGAAGATGCCCAGCTTTATCAACAGCGACATCAAGTCACCGCCTGGGATTAGAAATCATAATTAATATTCATGTCGGATTAGTCAGATTAACTAAAGCTAACCCACCTGGTATGTAGTCCATTACAAAGTAAAGGTTATCCTTGTCCTGGAAGCTGTAGTAGAGCTTCACCACCCAGCAGTTGTCAGCCTCTGCCAGGATGTCTCTTTCGGCTTTCACGTGGGCCACCTGGTTGCGCTTGAGGACATCGGCCTTCCGCAGGGTCTTCATCGCGTACAGGTGGTTGGAGGTGTCGATCTTCCGCACCAGGGTCACCTCCCCGAAGGCGCCCACTCCGATCGGCTTCAACTTGACAAACATGCTCTTGTCCATCTTGGCCCGCTTCAGGCGGATGTAGTTGCTCTCCTTCTGGTTCAGCATCTTCCGCATCTCGATCTGGGTCTGGTCGGGCAGGCCCACCTTCAGCATTTCCTTCTCCAGCTGGTTCTTGCGGTAGGTGCGCTGCCGGTAGGATTTGATGACGTTCTCGATGTGCTGCTCCATGTAGAACTTGAAGGCCTGCGGCGAGTACTGCCGGAGGCGGAACTCCTTGCGCTCCTCCTCCTTCTCCTTGGATATCTTCTTCCGCTCAGGTATGGGCGAGGCGTGTTTGATCTTCTTGCAGGCCGTGGACGAGGCGGTGGTGCTGGCGGAGCCGTTGCTCCCCCCGGAACTGTTGGCTCCCGTACTCGCGGAACTGTTCTTGGCCGGTGGTATCGGAGGAGTGGTGGCCAGATTGCTGTTGCTGATCTGGATATTGTTATTGTTGTTGTTGTTGTGATTGCTGGGTGGTTTTGCATCGGAATTGTTGTTGTTGTTGCTCTGATAGGGTGGCGGGGGTGGCAGCTGCCGGCTGGGGTTACCATTCGTTAGCTTCTGCTGCTCCCTCTCCCTCAGCTCCCGCTGCTCCCGCTCCCGCTGGTTCTGCAGAGCTCGGAGGGCCTGTAGCTGCTGCTGTTGCTGCTGCACCTGTTGCACAGTGGCCGCTTTGGCCTGCATGCTTTTGGCGTAGGAAGGTGGCTCCAGGCAGGTGGATTTGCTAGTGAGTCCTGAAAAGGATAGAGCTAGTTAGTATGTGATTCTATGGGAACAGGTGTACCGAACCCACCTGAAATACTGCCTCCCGTGAGCAGAGGTGGTGTGGTGGGCGTGGGTGGCTTCGACTGCAGCTGGTGCTGCTGCAGTTGATGCGCCGCTGCGGCTGCCTGTTGCTGCTGCTGCATCACTGCCGCCGACTTCTGCGGGTAGGAGGGCGGGGCGGCCAGGATGTGCACCGGCGAGTTGCTCGCCGAGGCACTCGAGGGGGACTGGGGCGCCACCGCCGTTTGCAGCACCGGCTTCTGCACCTGCGTGCTCTTCACGCTCTGCATGATGATCGGCTGCTGGGTCCTGGCCTGGTAGGCCCGGGGCTGCGGCTTCGCCAGCGGCGCGGGCGGCATGCTCACGGTGATGGGACTCGGTGATCCCGCCGAGGTGGCCGAGTAGATGCCACTACTCGGCGACTTGCGGTAGTCCGATTGCTGGGACTGCGTCGGCGACTGTCGGGACTGCATGGAGGCCGTGTAGCTGGGCGGCGGCGGGGGCTGGGCCACGCCAGGCTGGATGAGATACGGTGGCGGGGGCTCCGCCGCCACAGCACCACTTGCTCCGCCAGGATAAAGGTTGAGGGCCTTCATCTGCTGGGTGAGCTGCTGCTGGTTCTTGATCCCGTTCTGGGTGATTACCGGCGACGTGCCCCGCTGGGTGGGTGGTGCTATCGCTGGCGGGCGGTTCAGGGCCGGGGAGCGACGCTTCACGTACGCCTGGCTGGCGGGAGGCACCGGAGGCGGGGGCGTGGCCGCACTAGACACGGTGGGATTCCTTGGCGGCGGCGCCGGCGGGGCAACTTCACTGAACCCACTCGGGGAGGGGGAGAAGCCACCATTTCCGCCGGGAGTGCCGGCTCCGGGCCTGGAGCTGGGCTGGTGGGCGTGGGTGAGGGCGGAGTGGGAGTGCGAGTGCGGCGAATCCGATCGAGAGCTCCCGGCCCCGGAGTCCAAGGCCGGACTGCATCTCATATAATGACTACTGGCCGTGTCCCGCTCGACACTCGGCTTCCGGATCAGCTTGTTCGGCATCAGAGCCGTAATCATCTTTGGCACATGACCGACCCCCCTGTCCACCCCCGGTTGGCCTACGATCGCTGGGGGCGGGGGCACCACCACGTCGGGGGAGGGTGACGCCGACGGTGGGGGCTCCATCGGCGGCTTGGCATGGTGGTAGTCCGGAGTAAGTGCATCGTTGCGTCCATTGGCCGCAGTGTATCGCAGAGCTGTGTAGTTCTGTAAAACAAAGAGAATATTATTATTAAGAGAATAGCTAAAAAATCAATAAATCGAGTCAAATTCTTCAAAAGTGATTATAAGTATGACCCCCCTTGGCGGCCGCCCATGAGTGGTCAGCATTCCTCCACTGGGCATGTGTGTGTGTGTGTGGATGTGTTTGTATCAAAAACTAAACAAAAGACGAGCACACACAAAATAAAAACAAAGAGAAACAAGAGGCGAACCAGAGGCTAAAACAAAAGACGATAAACCGCGGCGGCCAAAGCAACAAAATAAAATTCTTGCCATCGTCCTAAAATTCCTTAATATTCCAAACGAGAGCGAGTGAGATGGCCACACCAAATATCTCAAATGCGGAGAGGGGAGGGGGAGGAATAGCGATCAGAGAGCCGGCTGCCAGATGCGCCAAGTGGGATCCAAAACACACAAACACTCACTCACACTCGCTCGCGCCGAAGGTTGCCCTTGCTTACATTCCATCGCTCTGGCTCTTTCACTCTCTTTTGCTTGGGTATGTTTGGGGTCCCTTGTTCTTTGTGCTCCCTTTTCTCGTCTGCCGCTGCGCTGCTTCTGCTACCCGTTTTACGCGTTCTTTTGATGCCTCTTCTTGTCTGCCCCCCTCCCCTCCCCTCCCCCAACACACATTCCGTCTCCAATCTTCCCTTTGTGACTGATCCTCGATTTTATGACTTTGTCCGCCCCACTTGCCCCACCCCACTCGCTCTTTCAATTTTTCTTCTCATTCTTGCTTTGACTGGCTGTCAAGTGTGTTGGAAAGAGAACGGGCTATCTTAATACCCTGGGAATTCCTTTAAGGGATTTGCTTTAAGATATTTTTAATAAAATAAGTTTAAAATAATAAATAATAAATAATTTTTTTTTTTTACTTTTCTCTCTATTTTGGACCACCCTAATGGGCATCAAATTAAATCCAAGGACGCGCACCAAGCAAAACCCGACAAAGCCCCCAGCAGACTGTGCGTCTGTCTTTTCGAGAAGACCCTCTGCCCCCCGCCCGAGTCCGAGTCCGAGGCGGTGCTCCTCCGCCTTACATGAAAGCCAATTTACGGCAAATTAGCAAAAGCCAATGGGCGCACTAAATCAGCAAGTGCAGCGATACCGGGCTGCTACACGAAAAAAAAGTGTCGCCCACGCAAGCTGGCACTGCGAAATTTGCGAATAAAACAAATTGGATTTACCGGCGATTCGAGGCAAGGGGCCCCGGCCCGGGCACCGAAACACTTTCGCTAATCCACTCAAGCCTATTTGCTCTGCGGTGGCTGCAATTTGCAAAACAATTAAGCCGCCGCCAAGGTCGGACAAGTTCATTTCCCACAAATTCCAACCCATCACCTGAAACACTTTCCGACACATGTACTATAGTGTCTATATGGCTATAGCTAGTAGCCTTGAACCTGGCACACCTCACCCAAAATCGAACTTTGCCTCGAAATGTGTACAATATTGCCTCATCGAATATGGGTGGGGTGGGGAAAGTGAGGCCGAAATTTTGCATGACATTCCTCATAGATGGTAATGGGGCAATCGCCAAAAAAATACATCAAAACTAAGAATTCTTGGCAACGGAGACAAATATTTGTCGAATAATTAGAATACAGGTATCACTAGATTGGAGGAAAGGTATAACTTATTTTTAAAATTTAATAAAATGAAAGGTTTTAAGGGTATACATACGTAGTATAAGGGAATATGTATTTATGAGGATGTGTTATATCTTTTTTAAAGAAGATTTTTAAGAAGAATGATACCCGCCTTTTATATTTTTTACAAGATTTTATACAGAAGGCTTCGAAAGTTGAGAGTGTCTTAATTAATGTTTAATATATTAATACTTATGTATGATGTAAATTTAATATGTATTATGTATGTAATATTTAATATGTACATATGTAATATGTCTAAAAAGAGAACTGATCTACTATTTTAATTTCAAAGCAAACTATATGATACCCGGTACTGATAAACTGTATAAAATCTTGAAAGAATTTAATAAATACGGAGTTTAGAAGTTTAATTAATACAGCGATTTTTTAGACCAAAGAATTAAGAAATTCCCTGTACTATAGACTCTATTTGTAGTTATAGCCAAACATTTTGGCCCGTGCGTGTCTGTTTGTCTTTTGTTATTATTAGAGGCAAACACACACTCGCCATAGAGGAAGCATTCTTTTTTGGGCGATTGCTTCTGCTTCTGATATATTTTTGTTGGCTATATGGCTGTGCTGTATATATACGAACATACAAATATGTATATTTAGGTGAAAATTCCTGAGAAAATAGCTAAAACATAGCCAGAGAATAAAGAAAATTAAGCAAAGGCTGCCCACCGACAGGTTCCCCCAAATTTTTCGCATGAAAATTGCACAAATTAGTTGAAAATTGCACCCCAAGGAATTCCATTTCGCTTCAAATGAAATTTGTCCCCCCATAAAGTCTCGACAGACAGCTTTACAGTGAGTGCAAAAAGTATTCAGACATCATTATGATATAGTTAACTTGTTTAAATTTAATTGATTAAATAAATGTACTAATTTAACTCTTCCAGGGTACGTTGAGTTTTAAAAAATGTTTGTTGTACAATGAGAGAATGAATTACTAAACACTACCCTATAGGAGTAGATTATTATATTTATATATTATATTATAGGATAATTTATCATTACCCTACTAGAAATGAGTGATAAATTAATATGATAAATTATATCTTTTTCTCTGATTTTAATCATGTCCAGAAGGATGTATAAATCAGAAGGAGTATGTATAAAAAAATGCTTTAAAAAAGAGTATTTTAAAATAATCTAAACACAAAAATAATGTTTTATTTTTTATTTATTCCCTTATTTGAAAAGTTATTCATGAGATTACTCATAGATGCGTGAGTTTTTTGAAGGAATATCAAGTTTAAGATTAGTTTGGTTCGAATAACTACGAATATTCTGTAATAAAACAAACCAAATTAAAAAAAATAATTATATTAATATTTATTATATCTTCAGATAAATAAGACAATAACAGGCTTATTAATTTTAAGAATATTTTGCTTCGCAAAACCATATCCATAGCTGCCATATGAAAAAAGGTACATATTTTTTTAAAATATTGGCTAGTGATTTCATTTCTAAACTGCGTTAAAAAATAGTATTTTCGGATCTTTTGTTAAAAAAATTTGTCATGTACATATTGTCACTTCTAAAACTTTCCAAAATACATCAAGTTATTATAAACCTTTAATTAAATTTTAATAGAATTTTAATTTTAATTGAAATATTTTTCTGGCAGCCACTGTCTGAACATTTTCTATTAATAAACGAATTCGCAGCAAATCTTAAAATGAGATTACATGTGTACGCGACCATAACCGCACCAAATAAGCCACCTAACCTATCACATGGATATAAAAAAAGAGACCCGATTAGGTATTGTTAGGGAGAGTGTTTCTTGGCCAGCCCCACCACACCATCCTCGCGGAGTGCTTCGTTTTGTTTACTAATTTATTTATGGATTATTTTAATTTTTATTGTAATGGCATTTGGCTCACTGTTGGCTGCGTTGGCGGGGCCATTGGATTTTATTTATTAACAACGTTTGTTATTTTAATTAATTTCTTTGCATACTTTTGCCGAAACCCGAGCCCCGCCGCCGAGCATTATTGATATGGATATTTATGGCGGAGGTTCGAGACCATTTTGGTGGCAGCCTACCGGTTGAAAAATGCCGCCAAAAAGGTCCATAAGTATTTGGTAGACTTTGGAATATCTATTGGATATATTTTCAAGATATCATCACATCTAATAGGTATTCCAGGGTATCAAAACATCGAATAGGGCGTCGAGTCTAAAACGTTGTGTGGGCGTGAACATGGCCGCTGAAAGTGTTGATCGGACCGCGCATAAATTTCGTATTTATTTATCGTCTATCGTTCATCGCTCCGACATGCACTGCCCACATATGGACCGCCCCCCTGCCCCCTGGGGGGGTTTTTCAAACATATGAGCCATATATGAGCAGATTATGGGTTTCTGGTATTTAGCGCTCAGCATGACCAATTAGCCGGGCCATTGTGCTTGGCCGAGGCAGAGGTAGAGGCAGAGGCGTAGGCCGAAAGCCGAATGCCAGGCGAAAGTTGGCCAAAACCGCAAAGACAAGCCAATTCCAATGGCAGCAGCAATTGCAGCATTAAATTGGCCTGTCCAAACTGGCCGGGCCATAACAATTAGCCAACTCTCCAATGGCCAGAGACCCGAGCACGCCCATCGCTTGGATTAAGAGAGAGACCCTGCTTTCAGGCATTCCATCCGCTGATCCTTGTGGCTTCTGGCCGAAACCGAAGCCGAATCGGAGACCGAAGCCCAAACATAATTTACAGTCGCAGCAAACAGTAGCCGGCAAGTGGAGGTCGTAAAACTTTGAATTGATGACCCGTCAGATAATATTTAAGAATTTTTATGACGTTCTGCCCGCCTCCCTGGCCTCCTCCTTCCAAAGGAGCTAAAGCCAGTTTCAGAACTTTAGGAATTTCAGCGATTGGAATCTCTTAATAGAGCTTTTAAAACTTAGTCATCAGGGGAATGCGTTAATAAATTCCTTAAAGATGAACAATAAAGTGAATCAAGTATTTTTTATTGAAATTTAAACTTATATTTTTGGGACGCACTGTAGCTGAACTGGAAGCGAGTCCACGACTTGGCCAGTTAATAAATGATTATTGCAAGTTGTTTGGCTAATTGCAGAGATGGTGCTGAAATCCTTAACTGATCGGGCAATACCAACTCGACCATTAGTCATTCCTCCCCCTCCCCCCCTCCTTCCGATGCGAGCAGCCCACTCGCAGCCTCTCTCCGATAGGCTATAGCCACGATCCGATCTCTTTAGTTCACTTGATCGTGACGTCAATCTGAAGAATCCAGGGCATTCGCGTGTACGCACACCAGGGAATAAAAAATCATATTCTACCTCATTAAAACACATGCCAGTTTTGGGCTAAAAAATGTTGAAAATTAAAACTCTATCCGTTTATTCTCCCAGTGGACAGTTCGTCTGCCAGACACTGGCTCCCACCCACTCAGAGGCAGAAGGTCAATTGCATTTCGCTCGCCAGTTCATTAATTTCGCTTTCCCACGTCCCTCTGCGTTTAATTTTAGCTGCTCTGGTCAGGCTTTTGACCAGGCCAGGCCAACTGCCATCCCGGCCGCTGATACCACCCACCCACGCACTTGCCAGCCGACCTTGTTGAAATGTTCACGACCAGGTGAAACATTTTCGGCTCGTGCCGGTTTATAAGCGAACAATCAGTAATTTCTACTTTGCTGACTGTTTTCCTTAATTTTGCAACTAGTATTTGCTTCTATTTGTAGAAACATACTAATATTAAAAATTGCAAGAAACTAAGCGGTTTTTAAAAATATTTCAAGAAATTTAGTAGAGTTCTTCGATTGTGATACCCGCGTACTATAAGTGATATCTTTAATTTTAATAATCGACTTATTTTCGAGGTAGTATCTTTTAAGGTTCGAGAAAAGCCATTCAATAATATCTGTTAATTTTAACTTATGTCGCGAGTTTTAATTTCATTGCCAAAACACAGCTTGGGAAAAATACTGGATTCAGGATTGATTAACCTATCGATATCAGATACAACGATACTCCAAATTCGTACAGTGTAGTTGGTAACGATTTATAGAAATGGAGATTTTAATGATTATTATGAATGTAAAACAATTATTAGTAATATTGGTCCCCAAATATAAATGTTTTATACCATTTTCCCAAATCTTTTTAACAAACTTCTGTCAAGAAAATCTTCTACTGCAGAGGTCGGCACGGCCCTATCTCGGGGGCATAGGAAATTTCTCTGCCCGAGCTCTGCCACACACACACAGTATAAATGTGTGAAACGTCATGCTCACAGCCTACTTTCTGCTATTCGTTACTAACACTAATGCGGTAAAATCATATCAATGTATTGGGGTGCCGACCACTGTTCTACTGTAATGTATTTTTAATATTCGTTTCAATATTAATATTTATATAACTCATACTAAAAGTGAGTTTTAATCATTCAAAATAAATGTCTCATAAAAACATTTTTTTTGCCACTTTCAAAATAAACCAATAAGAAAACAAAATAAAACGTCTAAAACTCCTTTAAAAATCGTCCGATTTTAGATAAAACGACTGTGGAATAGTTTGAAAAATACCTTTTTAGAATAGGGTTTTAGTGTTTTGCCATCCAAATATTGAATAAAAATTGGTAATATTAGATCGCAAATATTTAAGTTTCAATGCCATTTTTCCGAGACTTTTTAACAAACCTTTGGTTATTATTCCTATAGTTATTTTGTCAGTCCTCTTGTAAACTTCAAACTTCAAAGCTCCTCTTGTAATGTTTGAACATTTTTCATATTTCTACACTTCTTACAATGTCACTTTCTACACTAAACTATATGCCTTTCAAAATTAATATTTATTATACTAATCCTAGAACTGCGTTGTAACCATCCAAAATAGATGTCTCAGAACAACATTTTAGTTTCCTACTTTTGAGTGCTTCAAAAAACAACTAATAAGGTAGCTGAAGAAATACTCTATAACTGAATCTACAACTCCTCTAAAAATCGCTCGATTTGTCTGATTTTTTGTTATATAGGATTTGGAATAGTTTTGAAATCAAAACCTTTTAAAAAAAATTGTCTAATTTGGTCTCTAACACAAAATTGGGTCTAAAAATTGTCTAGCACAAAATTGACCCATGTGGGTACTGCAGGAATCTATTTAAAACATTCTAAAGATCTTATATAAGTAAGATATACAGTCTCCTATATCAACGATTGATTATGCTTATTAAGAATATAATTTATAGAATCGAAGAAGATTCCTTCTCCATACCCCCAAACTCTACAACTCTACAAGGTATACCGGGCATAAAAGTCACCCACACTTTCGATCAAAATTCGATTTAGTTGTGAGACTAAAGGCCTGCATGTTATCCGGCTGTTGGCTTTTATTAGCTGTCGTGTCTTCTGGTTTTGTGTCTTGATTGTCGCCCATCATTGGGAAGCTGTGATAAGCACCTTAGTGGCATAACTACCAGTGGAAAGCCAAGTCGGTCTAAGATGGTCTAAACCAGGCTTAGCCGCGATGAGCTGAGTGGCATGGAGTCGTTTTCACGCTAAACGGTTTATTGAAATTCTTCAAGCCTGTTTGGCTGTTTTGTGAGTGAGTCAGAGTCAGCTTTGAAAACGCCCCAGTCGACGAATAAAATTATGTATGGAGAGGTATTTTTGATTGGAAAGAGTTCTCACCTGATTATTCCTATGGTTATTTTGTACTTCGAAGCGGTTGAGGTCCTGCTTGATGCTCTCGAGGGCTTCCGCCGTGTATTTATCATTGGGGCGACCGCCCCTTTTTTCGCCCGCTGGATGCATGCTGCTGCTTCGTGGGACCGTGATATTTAGCACTCATATCACAAAATGCTGGCTCCCAAGGCTCCCTCTCGAACACGCACAGAGATTTTTCAATTAAATATTATTCGTTTTTAGAAGGCACTTTTTATTTTTCAGACGAATTTGCATTTCAATTATGTGAATATTTAGTTTTAGGTTTACGGTTTACGGTTTACGATGCTTTATTATCTCGATCTTGATATTGTTGCTCTCAATAAAGATAAATGTGTTTGCACTGCTGGCTGGTGCTCGTGTTCGACCCCTCCGCTTCTGCTAACCCCCCTTTTTTTGTATTTTTTTGTCGGATTATTTATCACTCGGGCGGAGAATTCTTCTTCCACTTCACATTTGCATTATAACAAAAAACATCTCTCGCCCAACATTCATTTTGCATGTAAATACTTCTCTTCACATTTTATTTTTCTTACTTATTTATTTTTTATTTTTGTTTGTTATTTTTTTTTTTGTCTGTTTTATCACAGATTCTGCCCCGACCTCATACACAATTCAAATCCGAAAATAGTTGGCAGAATAGTCGAACAAAGTCCCAGGCGATGAATGAATTTCATTTGAATATTTGAATATCAAAATATTAGTTGATTTTTAATTTGATTTGAGGCCTCTTTCGGAATATTAATTAATCCTACACACGATTCGAACTTGGATCTGAAAAATACACAAACATAAAGTATATGAATACAGGGGCACGGATGGGAAAATTGATCGAAAACCCAAAAAATTGTCACACGCTATGCGAAATGCCTTCGAAAATGACAAGATCATCAGTCACTCACACTCGCGTACATATCTCACTCATTAACTAGTCTAGTTGTTGACTAAAATATGCATACTTGACCTATTCAACTTGGGAAGCTCTTGCTACCTTTGGTCGCTCTACTGGCCGGTCGGGTGTCTCATTTAAATGCCTGCGACGTGAGTCACCGGCTGTCGGGGGGCTTAAGAGCTGTGGGCCGGAAAATCCACACTCATTGTTCGTAATGACCATCAATCTGGCTGGCGGAGGAAGTTCACCTGGAAGCACTGTCTTTCGCATGATTTTTCACGCCCTGGGGTAGTGACTGCCAGAGTCCCAGTTGCAGCCCGTAGGGGGGAGCCGCATAAATTATGCGCTGCCTCCGCGCACATTATGTCATGTTTCAATTCTGGTGAAATGTCCAAAACACAAAAAAAAAATCCCCCGAAAACACAAACCCATTTTTATGACGAACCATTAAGTTCACACCATGGAGGGGCAGGGGCTTGAACCGGGTGGTGGGTGCCGGGGGAGTGGCGTGCGCACCTGACTATGAAATAGCCGTCGATAGATGGATTTGTAAACAAACACGAAATTTCGCCGAATTTGTGCCAAGTGCAAATGAGGAAGGAAACGCAACGCAAAATAGAGCTTGCCGTGGAGGTTTGAGGTACAAAGGGTACTAATCTGATCCCTAAGAGGGCTACATTTCAACTCATTCTCAAGCTATCCTTGCGTGGATACCTTAAGGGATTAAGTATTTTAATATTTAAGATGGGGTTAAAAATATTTTCTAATTTTAATTGTCAAGAATGTTGGTGGTACGACTATTGACTATTTTATGACATATCTTATGTCTTCCAAGGGTTTCTAGGGGGTTTGAGGCATGCTTATCTAGGGGATATAAAGTTATAATATGTTGTTTAAAAATGAGCCTTTACCGAGGTTTATATGAAAGTGCTTAGATATTCACCTTTATTTTTAAGATGTTTTAGAATATTTTCCACCTTTATCTACAATCTAAAATATAGGTTTGTACTGATGCTGATATAACTTGTACTAAATATTCAAAACTTTTCTGTATTTCTACCAAAATCCTTAATTTCTTAAGCTGTTTCCATCTTAATATTAAAACTACTTTGGAATTTTAATTTGTTATTCAATTCCTATAAATGATGTCTCAATTCCCTAAATGCCTGTGCCTATATCGATTTTTTAACGATATAGATTCTTAGTCTCATTTCATGCCTTTTTATTTTTTTCTAGCCATATTCATACAAATTGTACGCAATATTTTTAAAAAGTCATTCTATATTATATAATATGGGAATATTCCTTTATATTATCAAGAATTAATTGCAAAAACATGCCTTTTTCGACAGGAATTTACCTTATAACCCTTAACCCTTAAAAGATTTCTGTATCGCTGCCCTAACAATCTACGTAAAATGTACATTTTGCACGAAATCGTTTATAAATTACTTAGTAGTTTACATTCCGATGAACACCCCTTGAAAAAAGATAGCCCCTAACCACCTTTTTTATCGGATAGGCAAAACAATAAAACAAAACGCCCAACTTCAGTGCCAATTCGCCCATTAAATTCCATTATTTTGCCACAAATCTCAATTATAAAGTAGTCAGCCTTCCAGGCTGCTCCCACCCGTCGTAGGCATATTTTTGGGAGATAACGACCCATAGACGTCTGTCAACAGACTACATGACTGTGTCTTGATCTGCAAACAATATTCTGATTGCCCCGTGAATTAGCTCCAACATAAAGAGGAACAACAGCGAAATGTGGTCGCTTTTAATTATTTTGTTGACAAGAGTGGTGTTCTCTCTTTACTTTAATTCTATTTTTTTCGGAGGAATGTGAATTTTTCGCCGGCCCGTGTGTACCCGAGCCATACATAGATGATAACAAGATCTTGGGCGGGTAAACATCGCGGGCCCCACGCGCCAAATCCGAATGTCAACAGAGATCGGCCCTGACTATAGCCGCCTCCTCTGTTTTCTGTAGTTTTTTTTTGCACCGACTGGGGGGACATTTTCACATTCCACGCATACTGCTGAGTATTTTTGCGCAAACATACGCCATATCCCATATCCCCACAACTAATTAAAAATCCAAATAACTAATTCGCATGCAATCGCCCGCTATCGCCGGCTGGAATATTTTGATTTTGATGCGTTATTAAGCGGCTCGTCCAATAGCGACGCTATTGGAATTCTTAATTGTTTAATTGCGTCCCAAGTAGTGCCAGCCAGCAGCAGCAGCACATGAAAGCCGAGCTGCCGCTCTCTCTATACCAAGCTATCTAAATGGCCAGGCTAGAGCTTAAGCTGAAATTCGCATTTAGCATTAATTGAGACATTTTATTGGCAATTATACGCATCGGCCCATGTTCGAAGAGGATTTTTAATTTTAATTAAAAAAGCACAACTGCTAGAGGTGGAGTAGTCCCTCTATTTTGGGTTTTAAATTAGGAATTTATATTGATTATATAAATACCTATTTTAGTAGCTGTTTAATGTAATCTTTGGGATAATCTTTCTTAGTAGTCCTATCTAGCTTGACTATTTTTGTCTAAGCTATATTGTGTTTATTTTGACACTTACAAGTCACAACTGCATTGAGTAAATAAAAGGTTTAGGCTGTTCTACTGTTAATTATCTTAATCTTTCCACCTAGTTTAGGGGGTTTAGTGTTGATATGTTTGGAAAAGTCACACTTTTTATGATTATTTCGAGATGAAATTATTTCCATATTTCTTTATTGGTATTCCCATATTCTAGTATGAATTTTTAAGAATATTTTGTACAACTTTTATCAGCAAGTACCAACCAATACTTCAGATTTTAGGTAATGGTAGAAACTATTCTGAAGAGTCTTAAAAAAAAAGGTGTATATCTGATTTATATCTCTCATATATACTTTCATATCCTACTCTCATAAATACCACTTTTCAACTTTTCGATCCACTTTTTCGTTTAAAAAATCAGGAACTCCTTTATTATTTATATTTTTAAGACCGATATTATCTTTTATTTCTATATATCTATCTATTATTACTATTAGTATGAAATAGTATGTTTTGTAGAAACAGTAGTGCATGTGGTATGTAGGGCTATAAGAACCTATCTATTATGTAGATTAGGTCTTGAAAGAATTAATATTATCATTCTTTGGCACTCTAATAGAGTGATAGATGGAAGATTCATTTTAGTTCATATTAAGAACATAATTTACGACTTTTAATATATTAAAGAGTCTTTAATAAGGTCCGATATTATCTATTACTTCCTATTACTATTACATAGATTCATAGATCTACATATCATGAGTGTCTATTAGGCTGGATTAGTTCTATTGTGAATTAATATTATTATTGTCCACTATAATCCAAATATTTTTGTATTTCCCAGTAAAAAATCCTTTCTATAGAGTATTGGATAAGGTAATGCAGAAAGTGCACTACTTTCATGTATTAATATTATTATTCCCCATTTCACTCCAAAATAATTCCCAGTAAAAATTCCTTCCATATTTTCTCCCGAATTTGATGCCCCCTGCTCTGCTAGTGCCCCCCTCCTGTAACATGCTCTGTTACAGCGCTCCGATTGCGAGCACAAGACCTGGGATCCAGAGGCAATCATGCGGCCCCCAAAAGAGAGCGATCGACAGAAGAGCCGAGACAAGGAGCGGAAGGAGTGGAACGAGGGGGAGTGACTCGAAGTGAGCCGAAACACGCTGCAGGGGGCAAACACTCACAGATACACACGCACAACCGTACACCCGTACACCCATACACCCATACAGATGCGTGGAAGTGTGCGACGCGTCAGGGCAGAAGATAAAAATAGTATTAGTTGCTGATTATTATTGCAAAAATGCGCATTCCTCGGAAACTTATTCCAAACGAAAGAGCCAAGGAAAAATATGGTGTGTAGGAAGGCGAAAAAAGGGGAGGCTGCTCTTGTTGTTGTTTTTATTGTAGTTGTAGTTGCTTTTGCTCTACTCTACGCGCGCTCTATGTTTTCGTTTCGTTTTCCCTTTTTTTTCATGCGCTCTCACACTCTCTCAGTCGGTTACATGCTCGAAATGGGTGGGAATGGGAGGCGCGAGGTGGAAGGGGGAACGGGATCGATGCAAGCAAGAAAAACGAGCTAAATTGCATTTTCGTCGTCGACGTCGTTCGACTTGCATAGCATTGGAAGTGCAGTGGCGTAGCTAAAGGGGAGGGGCCAGGCCTAGACTAGTTGCTTAATTTGTTTAATAAAATAAATAATTATAAAAAGTTAATTTTAATTAAAAGGAAAATATAATTAATTAAAGAACCAATGACCCTTTTCATTTCTTGCCTTTATAGGGTATTTCTAGTTTCGTTACTATCCTTTGATAGCCTTCCTTACTTTCTTGTTTTATCGTTCATTTACTTTTAAAAGCAACAACAGCAACAACAATAATGGCAAACAGCTCACTGTATTTATTGCCCTGCTCTCGCAGCTTGTGAGCATGTGTGTGTGTGTTTTTGGAATGCACACGATCAACGCCAACGGAGCCTCACCTGTTCCGTGCTGCCAGCGTCGACGTCCACAAAGCAGCAGAGCAACTATAACACCAACAAAAACAACAATAACAACAACAACACTCACATAATCCACTACGAATTGCATGCTGGAATGTGAATGGAATGCCAACAATTTTTAGCGTCGCTGCCGATGACGCCGCTGAAGCTGGCTACAAAAAAAAAAAAAACCAGCAATAACAACAACAACAATACAAGTAGTAGTAACAACAACCATCACATTTTGCACATTGGAGAGGAGGAGGGAGGAGTTGCGTTTGTGGCGTTGGCGTTTTTTTTATTTTTTTTTTTATTTTTTAGACTGGTCAAGCTTTTGGCTTCGGATTGTGGGGATTTGGCTCTTGGCCAAGTATTGCAAGTGAGGCTTGGGATTTGGCAGCCAAGGAGAGATGTTTGAAGTGTATGGGAGTGATTTCGAATTCAAACATTTCAAGTAATCTTTTTTAATTGATTATCTCTCAAGGAATTCCTCAATAAAATCAATGATTATGCAACATTTAAGATTAAAGGTGTATAGTTTTGGAAAAAACTTCATTTTTACATATTTAATAATTAATTAAAGCAGGGAAAAAACAGAACAGCAAACTCTAAATCAAGATTTTCGATTCTGTTAATATTTTTCATATATGTAAGCTTCAATTAAATATCGATGGTGGTAATAAATTGAGGGAGAATCTCCTACTCAGTAAAGTAAATATATTAACGATCAAGATGTAGCTCTTACAAACTTTATTAGCTCTGTTTGTAAGCTAAAGAGTTCAGAAAAGGCCTCTTGCAATTGGCTTAAAAAAAGATAAAGCTTGAAACTGTATTAGATAGCAACCATAAGGGCTTAAATGCTTAATTTCACGAGATATTGGATTGCGATTTCATGTCATAACTTGATTTCCTTTTTGTCATATCATATATGTACATACATATATCACGTATATTTTGTTAAAAATAAATTTTATAAAATACACATTTAAAGTAAAAAAGTGTTTTTAGCTCTTGAGGAAAGAGAACTTAAACTGTTTTAAGGCAATTATTATTTACTAAAGTAGAAGCTAGTTTTAAGCTCATAATAGCATGTCGATCATGTAAAAATATTTTCTTATTCCACTTTAGTAGCAGTTATAGGAAACGTCTTCGAAAAACTAGAGCTTTGCGCTAATATCGTTTTTTCGGGATTGGGAGATCCAAAATCAAAAAATTTGATTGATTCTTTTAAAGAAAACATAAATGCACAAAAGAATAAAACTAAAGAATATACTAAAGAAACCTAAACACAAGGTAATGAACTTCAAAAAATTTAAATTTAATGACTTTAAAAAATTCTTATTTTTAACAAAATAGCTATGTATACTTTGAAGAATAATGGTTTTTCTTAATTGTTTTTCTTTTTTTCTTATTAATAAATTTTTAAAATTAAATTCCTTTACATAAAATATTTATCAGAAGGAGTTTAAGTTTTGAAAGGACATGCACATCTTTATGTAGATTAGACTACAAAAATTTGATTTTTGGAAAATCCCAACTCCGTATAACCCATTAAACATCATTTTTTAGGCATGTGCCAAATTGTGTTTCGCACTGCATATAAACTAATTTTACAAACCCAAAAAAACCAACTACCAAATATAGGACCAAATATAGATATTTTGTCAATTATTTTGTAAAGGAAATATGTAGAACCCGTATGGGGCTTTGGAGGAACCATAATTAACCTTTAAAGCAGCCTTGTCACAACTTCTCACTTCTGAAAATCTTAAAACTCCAAAAACTGCAAGGGAAATATAACTAAGACTGCATCATAACTTATCTTCTTAGTTTTCTGATTTACTTTAAGGATTTATCTTTTATCTTCCTCATCCTATGATTATAACGGTTTATATGATTATGTTTATGATTATTGTACATATATAAGGAAATAAAAACATGATAAAGTATTCATTATTATACAAAATCATTAAGTTAGATTGTAGGTTCATAAAAGAGGCAACATTTTTATTTTAAATTGTGGATTTTCAGAAGCTAGGACATTACACCTAACTACACAAATAAATCCATATTTTAGCTAATGTTTTTATTTTTTAGGATTATAATTTAAGTCTCAAATATTAAGCCAACTCAAACAATTGTTCTTTCGTTAAAGATACTCCAAAATACTTAAGTATCTCAACCCACAAACATATTTCAGCATAATGGCAGCCCCAATTGCAAGTTTTTGAATTTCGGGCGACTCGTAGACAGGGGGCGGGGTGGGGAGGCCACGTTGCCACCATAAATAAGCCGCCTGAGAAATTATTGTCGCACTGACATTGAAGATTGAAGCTCGGCGGTGGCGGCGGCGCTGCCTCTAATTACAAAGAGCAGCCAAGGAGGGGGGGTTGGGGTATTGTTTTGCAGTTACTTGTGCCACATTTTGCATCTTTCGTATTTACATGAATGTTACTTTGTGGCTGCCATGGATTTGTCTTCATATTTCTGCCAGTGAGCTTGATTCATATGTAAATGGGAGGCAGCTGCTGCCCACGGTTGCATCAACACGACAGTAGTACCTCGCTAACATATATAGTACTAACTAGCTAAAGACTAATATGCTTTGATTTTATTTTGAGTGAATATTTATATTAAAAATAATAATAAAAAAATTATTATTTTTTAAGACAGACTTTCCACTTTAGTGAGACTTCCCTGTAATCGTAGTAAACGTGCTCAGGTTGGACTTGTTTTTTGCTTTGTTTTCTCAAGTGTTTTTGTTGTTTCTGCAATCGTACTTGCTTTTTATCATTGTTTTGTTTTTTTTTTTTTTTTTAAGCGATTGCATGTGAATTTTTGCAAAACGCCTACGAGACAAGTTTCTGTGACACATGAATTATTGTGGCAATTAGACGTAGTTGTCATCTGAGGAGAGGGGGGTGGGGTTGAAACCAAAAGTGGGAGGAACCGATCTCCCTGCCAAAAAGTGACCTTGCCTAATGTCAAGAATTATCAGAAAAGATAACCCCAGAGGGCCTCTTAGTTTATTTCATTAAACTTTTATTAATAATACTATTTCTTTAACAAACACACACACACATAGGCACTCATGTACTAGCTAAGAAAGGGACAGAATATAGAAGAATTTAATCCGATTTGTGTGGCAGTCTCTCCCTCTCACACACACACCACCCAGCTCACCCCAGGTGGCGAGAGCGGGAGAGGAATATGTAAATACAGCCTGTTGCATTTGTGTTGGTGTGTGTTGGTGAGCGATTTCGCATTTCGTTTTCAGGCACTTTTCCGCACATTTTTGATTGCTGCCTCGGCCGCTTTTGGCTGCTGTGCGTTTTTCCGTGCATTTTCCTCAGTTTCCACAGACACAATTGGAAATACATATACCCACACATTCACACGCACACACGCCACAAATACACACCGCACACACACACACACACTCCCGCATTGCATTTTCTTGGGCTGGGAAATACGCAAATTGCCCACAGAAATGGCTGCAAACGTTGCACTTTTGCAGCGGATTTTCCTCATTTACCTTCGGGCCCAGGGTTTTCTGCGCGTTTTCCAACGATTTGACTCTTTGTTCTTCCCTTTTTAGCGTTTCGAACACACGGCACTTATTTCTTTCATTTTTTTTCTCCTTTTTTTGTTGACAAATCTCTGCCTGGCTTTCTCTCTCACTTTATTTCCACTCGTTGCACTCTATTGCACTGAACTACACTTTCCGCTGGCGGTTTTTCGCATTATTTGAGGGTTTTTCGCAGCGCGTTTCGATTAAATTTAGGAAAATTAATTCGTGGTTGGCTTTTTGTTACGAGGAAAATGACAGTGTGGTCGGACAGCGTCTGTGCCAAGTTCCGTGTTGTGGGGGTGCCATCTCTGCTGGCTAGATCAGCGGGAAAAAGCCAACTGCTGGTATTTTCTTCCCAACAGACAACGGTCTGCCTAATCTTTATATAAAGGTGGATCTAAAAATCAGGATCAGCAATTTAGGCACTTCAGAAAAATTTTGTAAAAATTAGTTACATATTACAAATTTAACTATATATATTTTTTTTAACTTCTGTGAATATTTTTAATTTTTAGTGATTAAATACCACTCTTATACGAGAGAACTAGTTCCGTTCGTAATAATACGTTACGTTACAAACGTACGTAACATTGGCGTTGCCAGATTTGTGAACTACCGTTGGATGATATTTTTTGTGGCCACAAACTGCTGTATTTTTGGTTTTAGACTCCGCTTTGAAACACAATTTTATTTTAAATTTTCATTTCTGTTACTTTTTTTATCCAAAAACTTGATAAAAGTATTAGTAGTTTGTATGAAGTATTGGTATAAGAGTTAGTATTTACAAATTCAAATTTTGAAATTGTACCGCACTGCTAGGTCTTTTCCGAGATCTGTGATCTGGGCACTCTGCATATGGGAAGTTTTTCTATTTTGACGCGAAATTTTTGCAAATTTGTAAATATGTCGAAAAGCGCACTGGTTATCCTGGCCCCTGGCGCCGAGGAAATGGAGTTCATCATTGCCGCCGATGTCCTGAGGCGTGCTGGGGTAAGAACTTCTTAAAATATTTTCCCCCGGATTCTTAGAACTATTTATATTCTGGATATGTTAGATCAAGGTCACCGTTGCCGGTCTCAACGATGCCGAGCCTGTGAAATGCTCGAGGGATGTTCTTATTGTTCCGGATACATCTCTGTCCAAAATAGCGTCTGAAAAGTTCGACGTCGTGGTTCTGCCTGGAGGATTGGGCGGTTCGAACGCCATGGGCGATTCCTCTGCGGTGGGAGAGCTGCTGAAGACCCAGGAATCCAATGGAGGACTCATTGCCGCCATTTGTGCCGCTCCTACGGTTCTGGCCAAGCATGGAATCGCTTCTGGAAAGTCTCTCACCTCGTACCCCTCCATGAAAGCTCAGTTGGTGGATAAATACAGGTTAGAATTTTGGATTTTTTCTTCCTAGACCTCTATTACTAAATGAAATATTGATTCTAGCTACGTGGATGACAAGAATGTGGTTCAGGATGGAAACCTAATCACCAGCCGCGGACCTGGAACCGCCTATAACTTTGCCCTGAAAATTTCAGAGGAGCTGGCGGGAAAAGAAAAGGCCCAGGAAGTGGCCAAAGGTCTGCTTTTGTCCTACGACTAAAATACTCCTAACTTGGGAGGACAATTCTCTTTAATTTATTGCCATGTTTAACTAAGTTTTGTTTAAATTATGATGTCAACTGAATTAAAAATATTATGAACAAAGCTCTGAATTTAAGTGAAACAATATTGAATATATTTGTAATTTAAATAAACAAACTTAAACCGGGGAGAACACGATTTATAAAATGGAATTTAAATGCATAGCTTAAAAAAAAAACATAAAATTATTCACACTTTGTATTTGTGGATAATATTTCCATAACATTAATTATAATTTAGATGATAAAACATTTCTGTGTGCAAATATTTTAAAAACCTTTTCTTGAACCGGGTAGAAATGTACAGACCGGTAAGGACCGGCTTGGCGCCATCCAGTGCTGCCAATCTTCCTAATTTGACATCAAATTATGTTGCCAAAAAAATGGTAAGCATTTGATTTCCAATATCCAAAGATATTTTTTTTGCTAACTAATAAGTAAATAAGAAAACCCTAATAATTAAGTTAAAATATTTTAGCAACAAATAACTTATATTATTGGCAGCACTAATTATTTATAAAGTATGGCAACTGTGGTTCAGAAAACAGCTGTTACTGCAATACTGGGCACACTATCGCCGCACAGCCACACTAATCCTACAGTGGGCACAAGTAAATCAAATTAGAGAAAAAATCTCCACAGTGCGGACGTGTGTCGGACGTGAGCGGTAAAATGTTTGGATTTAAATGAAAAATTTCCAAACTGTCGAGCTGAAAAATCGAAGTTTTCCAAAAACTATCGCACAGTTTGAAAGTGTTTTCGCCGCCAAGGCTTAAGGGGCTCTAACGGTCGGATTGCAGTTCGATTCTGTGGAAAATTCAGTGGCACGAAGGCGCGGTTTCTGGACGGAGCATCCCACTGCCGCAAAGTGCAGGCCGAAAATCAATAGCCCCAGCAAGTAAATAAAGTGCATTCGAGTGCGGGGTGCGGGGGAAGTGCGATAAATGCGAATGATAGTGCGTGCGTGAAGAAGAAAGCAAACGACGGAGGCGGCGCAGGAGGAGCAGATAGCGGATAGGAGTCGAAAAAGTGCAGAAAGAAAGGAGGAGAAAAGACTGCGCGCTGCAACAAACAACAGAATTTTTGGTTTTCGGTGCCGCATTTCTACGTGACGCGAATTAATTAAATGCGCTCTCTCTCTGGTTCTGGCCGTGCCTCTCTCTCGCTCCTGCTCTCTCCCACACACTCTTCCAGTCCACGAAGACTGCAAACAGGGTCAAAATAAATAAAACGAAATAAAACACGTTAACGAAATACTTGTGTATATAAATTCTAGGTATTTCCTTCTTTGTTTCTTTATTTTCGTTTCGCGGTTAACGCGCGTGATTCATAACTCGAGAAAACTCGTATTTGTTGTTGCCAGCGTTGTGATACCTGGAGTTGAAACAACAACAACGTCAGTAGTACAGTGCATTGAACCGCAACTGCTGAAAACGCTGCTTACTGGTAATCGGTTGGATCTAAAAACATGGATAACAACAGTGAGTTTGGATTTTTAAAATTTATTATATTTTTTTTCTCGAATCTGTATTTTTCAGACTGCAGTCTAGCGCTTTTCTAGTTTTCGGGGTGGGTCCGCCTATTTTGCCGTCTCTCCTTTGCTCACCATATTCGCATTTTGGGGTGGGTGTGTCCCAGCGGCCCAAGGACACTGCCTCTTTCTTTATTTTCCTGCCAGCGGCTTTCTGGAATCTGCTCAAGGGTCTAACGGTTCTGCTGGCCAGCTTTGTTCCTCCCATTTTACTAACTTGGCCAACAAACAAATAAAAAAATAGTAGAGTTCTAAAACAAAAGGGAAACCGGTTCCGAAGCTGGCAGCAAGAAAGAGCCTTTTAAATGGGAATTTTTGCGTTCTTTTTGATGATTCCATCTCGCCATAAATCTACACTTGGCCGGTGACTGAAAAGCGAGGCCCCGGGGCAAAACACTCCGGGCCCTACCTCTCCAGGCCTCCGCCCACCGCCTCCTCACGCCCATTAACCCCCTTGGAACTGGCCAACAACATCTTAATTTTTTTTAAAGAATAGAACAAATCCCCGTTGTGGGATGCAAATTAGCTAAAATTTTCTCTTAGGGAGGTTAGCAATTCCATGATTCATGGGGTCTTGAGCTTGTAATGTTCCGGTATTACTGGGTATTTCTTCAATTTATCATTATCGTTATCGTTTTTATTTAATTTTTATAATTATTTCGATGATATCATCGAATAAATATTACTATTATAGTAAATATTACTAATATTTATATAGGTTTGTAATTTTTTATTAGCAAGGAAAATAACGACACTTGTGTTCAAATATTTCTTTATGAACTATGAGTTATTTATTTATTTATTAATTTCTCTAGTACTTGAGAGGAATATTCTATTCTATTCTCATAACTATAGGAAGGCGATCTCGTCGTTGACGTTTTGTTCAATTCTTTGTTCGTTAACATCCAGTGTTGTAAAGAGTAAAGTGATTTGACATACAAATTTTAAAATAAATTTAAAAAAAATGACTTTTTACATTGTTTGTTGCAAGCAGATTAGTTGGATTTATAAAAGAAAGTGGATCTAATAACCAAATGGTCTTGGTATTAAAAATGCTATAGGTTGTAATACAAATATTGCAGCAGGTTCTATCAAATTGATTTTAGTTAAAGAGAAGTCTTTCAAATTTGATCTAATTGGAGCGATGTGTGGTTGTAGCGATAAAGAAGAATACAATGGCTAAATTAATACAATGCCGATAATATTGTAATTAATATAATATTTTGATAGCAACAACGCAAGCCTTTTCATCTTTGTTTCACATGAATACTAAAAAAATACCTAAAATGGAAACTACCGCTGTATTAAAATTTAAAAAATATAAGTTATTTTAGATTCAACATTTTCTGTGCAATAACAAAAGCACCTTGAATAATACATTCGACTGCAAAATCATTCAAAATTAAATTATAGAAACAGATGCAGGACAATTGTAAGGATCTAATATAGAGGGGTCCAAATTAAACCCTAGCCACTGTTTAAGGGTTAAAAATTTTCTTGTTAGTCAACACTGTTTCACTCACAACCTGTCATATTCCTAACGGTCTACATTTGTCGATGAGACTACTTATAGTTATTCCACCATGACTATACATATCCCTTCACTGATATACTCTATAAAGTCTAGAAAAAATACTTTTCTTTTCATAAAAAAAAAACTTGCATTATTTTCCCAACCCGACTCTGACCCTGGCTACTGTTCAATGTCCCGTGTAGAGATAATCCCGGATCGATAGAAGGAACTACTGCTGCTCCCACAGCGAAAGCCTCTGCGGCGGACAATATTAATAAATCTTAATGTGCGTCCCAGGCTTGTTATGGCTTCTTTGTGAAGTCCCAAGATTGCCGGGCTCGGGCCTTTGTTACTTTTTTGTTGTCGATGTTGCCGGCTGATAATGGAAGCTGATTGAAAGTCCCTCCCCGCCCCTACGAACCTACGAGCTGCACCGCACCCGCAGCCGCCGTTCACTGATGATTTCTTTTGATGAACAATTTCCAGCGACAGACAATGGAAAGGCCACCTCTCGATGCACTCGAAAAAAAATCTAAAGGAAATAATTAACAGAAACTTGAATTTATTTTAAAATAGTCAAGTTTTGGCTCAAACTATCCATCATTTCTATTAAAAGATACTCAACGGTTATGCATTTCGTAATGATTTTCTTCGTGGAAAGTAGCTCTTTCTTTAGAGTGTATCTTCGAGACCATTTGCATCCCAAACAGAGCTGCTTTCTTCCGCTTGTTTAGGTGATTCAACGCGCTAGACAAAAGCATGAAAGTGGACAACAAAAAGTGTTGCGTTTATGTAACAAACCCGGCCACAATGGCGATCAATGGTCAGCAAATGAATCGCCAAACGAAAACATTTTATCAGATTTCTTATGTAGTTGCCCCAGCCCGCTCTTGGCTCTTATCTTATCTGGGCTTTTCTGCTATTTTTCCAACACTCCTCCCTGGCAATTTCATAAATTGCCCGCCACGCCCATATTTCGTCTTGGATTTATGGCTTACATATTGTGTCTCCCGCCGTACCTCCACTCCGGATTTTGCGTGGGCCGCCAATGGGTTAATGAAGAACGGCGACAGCCACGCCCTCCTTGAGCCAACTCTCTTTACGGCTCTTTCTGTTCCAACAATTTCTTAATATTAGCTGGAGTTATGAGGCCTGATGGATCGCTCTGTGAGTCACTTTCCATTCGCTGAATTCGTCACGAAAATCGCGAATTAGGGGCATGTGGCTGGCGATGGGGGAAGTGCTCTATCTGCGACAGGAGTGAGTCATGTTTATGGAGATATAAACTATTAATTTCACAGATCCTTACGGTGGGAAATCTAAGGTTTTATCACTAAAATATGGTTTATTTATTAAAAGAATTAATATAACATTCTGTAGGAACTAAATCACGGATATATTTTATATCTATGAAAGAGAGAAGCTTTAAATAAAATATACTCTTCAGAGGGCCTTGAACCTCCATAATTTATTTGAAGAAAACGGAATTCGCTTTGTGAAAGTGAAAACCGGAACTGTCCTGTAAATAGGTTATTGTCTTTTATTTAAGATTTTATCCCAAACTAAGGATATACTAAGGATATACTTTATATACATACGTATATAGAAAGCCATGATACAATTATACATGATTATTGTATCATGTAGAAAGCTATTAAATATTTTACATTTTCTTAAATCACAAAAAGATATCTGAGAGAAATGTAATTCGCTTTTTGAAAGTGACAACCGGAACAGTGCCTAAAAAAAAAATTTCTTTTTAGATTTGATCACTAACTAAGGATATAAATACTTTAAAAGTTAAAGTTTTAATACATAAATAAACAGATCTTCGGAAAATTCACTCTGTGAAAGCGTAAATTGGAGCTTACTTGTAAATAAATTGTTGTCTTTAAACTAAAATGATAAATTTCAAACTAATATATACAAAAATTAAAAGTATACAATTCTGTAGTAAATAAATAGGAGATATAGTTTGTAGGATAAAATAAGCTTTAAAATAAGCTATATCACAGATCCAACCACAAAAAGACACAAAAAGGAAAAGGTCGTAGGGATTACCAATATTTTTTGTTCGGGGGTCTTTCAGAATTTTGGAAATGGCATTCCGGCAATCATCATAAAGCTAAGAGGCTCAGACGACCGAGATGCGCTCGAGAAACGATTTATTAGTATTTATTAAGATATTTGTTATTTATTAAGTTAAGAGGACTTAGTAAGGAAATTTAAAATCTAGTATTTTAGAAACCTGAAGATCAGGAAAGAGATGTTATAGAGTAGAGACCATTGTAGTTCAAAGAGCTTCAAAGACCCTAAAAGGGAAGACTAAAGTTTCTAGTCCTTCTTTTAAAAATATTAAAACTTAAGTAAATGGCAAACTTGTCAGTACCAGAACCAGAACATGTCAGTAAATACATTTTAATATTTTATTAAAAATTTATTTAAAAAAGAATACATAATTTACATAAAAACTCTGTAGAAAATAAATAACGGATGTGCCCCGTCAGTTAAAAAAATAAAATTGCAAAAACACATAAAATTTAGTTTTCAATTATTTTTTGTTTGGCTTTCGTCGCTGGCGAAGCGAACAGAGCCGCTTTATTGATATGCAAATTTATTTTTCGCAGTTTTATTTCTGTTTTTTTTTTGTTCTTGCCATTTAGTATTGTTTTTTTTCTCGCTGGTCGAGTGCATTCAACAGTTGTGAGTGATGCGGTGACTCAGTAGCGCGGTTTAGTCGATTTCAGAATTCATGAAGCGAATTTTGTATTTTAGTTTGTTTTTTCGCCTGCCACTCGCTGGCCCACCCCCTTATCTTATCGCGATTCCTGCGCGCGTTCTTCTCAGACTTGGCTTATCAACTGGGAAGGGAAATGAATAGGAAAATGTGAGATATGAGTGCTTCTCTCTATGCGACGCATGCTTCCGTCCCTGAGAGGGTCTTCTGGGGAACTAGAAACTCGAAATAATCCAAAAATTATGTCAAGTTTGTGTAATGTTTGCCCTGCGCTCGGAATGTCTTCTTGAATGCTATCTTTGTGTTTGGAGGGCCCGAAGAACGATAGAAATATGCGGGTTGGCCTTATAGAGAGTGAGTTCCATATCAATGAACTGATAAGAAGCGAATGAACCCCAAGGCCTCTGGAAGAGAAGGCCGCGGGCTTCGGAGTGCAATAAAATTCTGAGAATTCCTCAGACGGTTGGGGCATGCATGAGCTCTCTAGGTCTAATTTAAAATCGTGAACAATCAGAGTCATTGCTTGATTGGAATCTATAAACCGAACAATAGAAGGCCTCTTGAAAACCATCTCATTTGGCTAATGCACCACTCATCGAGGATGGACGAGGGGCCATGCCCGACTGCCTCCAAACACTTTCCATCGTAAACTCTTCGGAATTAAGCACCGACAGCCCCACACAAATCAAGGCGGGGGCCGGTCGGTGGGGTCGTGGGGTTTGAATTCAAGACTGCGTTTGGTCAGCTTGCCAACGGGCCCGGGGGCTTCGAGGAAATGGAAATGGAAGTGCATTTGAGTGGTGGTCAAGGGTGAAGTGATTTTAAATTGCAATTCAAACACTAAGAGAAAGGGGTGATATTTTATTTTGAATTAATATTGATGTATGCCCTAAATGGCCTCTAATTTTTCTCTCAGTGTAATAGTCACGCGTGGGTCTGACGTCACCTGACCCTGACTAAATCGAACCTAAATGTTAATGCCATTGTTTGCTTATCGCTCAGAAGTTTCCCCAACTTCACCGATAAGGGTCGTCCCCCTGTCTTATCACTTGGCTTCGCCCACTGCTATTTCTGATTCATTAAATTCCCAAATACTTTTAAATTTAATTATTTTTATTCTCTTACTAAGTTTCATCAAGTCCAGGAAGGAAATGCAACTCATTTGGCGACAAACTCGGCTTTCGTGCCTCCGCAACACGCAATGGGCGACCTTGAACTTGAGCTATTGGCCTTTGTTTGAGGACCATTGAAAGCTCACAAGTCAAGGTCGCCTGGGCGGACTCGGGGTTCAAGGATGTGTACGTGTGGGGGGGTACTTTTTAGGGACATTGCCTCCAGCTGAATGGCGGACATTTCTCGTGTGCCTGGGACTTGCTTCTGAGGCTTAGCTCTCAGAATACAAAATATTTATAATGAGGGTTGCCGAAGGGTCGTGAGGCCTTTAGAATCCCTCAGCAGCTGTGCAGAGAGGCCCTTTCTTTATGCCAAGTCATGCTCAATACAGGAATTACCTTTAAGGAAGTGGATTTCATATTTTGAGACTTCATCGGACAGTCATTGCTTTTAAAAAGATTATTTTTTTGAATTCGGTGGGTAGTTATTTTTGACCTTAATAAAAAGCAAAAAAACTGTTAACCAGGTCACGTCGAGATCCAGTTTGTAGCCAAAGCACTTCTGGTTGTCAGACAGGTCAGCTCCATTACCTTAACTGGGATAACCCCTTCTGGGAAGTCGCAGACTCGAATGGAGAACCCGAACTCACGCAAAGCCAATGTACCGTTTACGGTTCATGGCTTCCTCCCCCACCCGCCATTGGAAAAACACCAAGAAAAATATTTATTATTTACAAATTTTGACCTTAAGGGGTAACTCTATTGTAAAAACCTAAAAAAATGAATTATTTTTATGGTAGAAAAACTAAGGCTTCAATAATATTAGTTGATACTTTTAATCATTTTTTTGAAGAGTAAAAGATATTTTTACTAAAATATAGTAAAGAAGATACTTAGGGGAATATTACTTTCATTCATGTTCAGATTGAAATTTTTCAAGAACATCATTATTAATTTCTTCAACAACAGTTAGAGATACTTTCTTAAAATATAGTCTTTAAGAGACTGTAAAAATTAAATCTTTAAAAGCGCTAAAATCTTGATAAAATATTTATTTTGAGTTCCTTTAGGTAATATCTTAAGTTAATTGAAAGTTTTTCTTATAAAAATTGATGATATAAAACCATTTTTACGTTTTTTAAAAACTAAAATTTAACGAAAAAATTATATTAAAAAGCACCAACACGAATAATAAACGTTTATTTAACTTTTACTTTATTTGTTGTTTATTTAACAAATATATTTAAAACGGATTACTAAATCCACGAATTAGATTCCACAAATATCATTATAAAGTTATTTTAAAATCTATGTATATATTTTCTTTATAAAACAGTATTTAAAAATTATATTTATTGAAATATCTCAGTGGTGTAACCCCTTTTTGAGTTTTTTGAGCAATCTCTTAAGTTTAAAAACAGCTTATCTTTATTTATAGCCATGCTAAGTTCACATTATTTCTCTCAGTGTACTAAAGCACCAAAAAAAAGTAAAAACCGAAATAAAACAGAAAAACAATCGAAGCAAAACCGAAATTCAAAGGCAGTCCAAGCTGATAGTTAAACCAATTAGCATGTTCTTGTTTGCTCGCCTCCACCGCTGGGGAGGAGGGGGTGGTGGTGTTGGTGGTGCTGCTGGTGTGGTTGTTGGTGCTATCATCAGGGGGGAGGAGTCTTCCCAAACACACACACAACCTGCCCACACCTACAGAAGTGTTTGTTTTGAACGGAACTTTGGTACTTTGGCCGCACCCTTGGCCGCCAGCAGATGCGAGAAAATGCAGCTGCTCACCTGAACCGGTTGCAGGTTGCAAGTAGAGGCATGGAGTTTGCCCCTTTTGGTGATCTTTTGAAAGGTATCAGTTGAACTTTTGGATTAAAACTCTTAATTAATATATGTAGGTAAATTTGAGGCAATTTTTAATATTAAAAGAATGTATAAGCAGCCCTAGGGCATTGGCTAGTCGGCTATAATCATCTGGCACAACTCCCTTACACCTTTACCTGTTTTCGCGCCATATTTCAGCCATCCAGCAACCGATTTGCATATCTTTATGGCCGACATGATGCGCTGTTTGACATTGGGGGGAAGCTGACATCAAAATAGCCATAAAAAAAAACCCGATTCCGATCCGATGCGATCGGTCATGCAGCCATTATAATTACAAGGCAACCATCCCACCCACCAGCCAGCCAGACGCAAGAGCATAAAAACCAGCACGCCCTCTTGCGGGGCAGTGGCAGGGGCCTCTTGGCGGAGCTGTCATGCCATTTTCTCCGCTTTTGACACATTTACACATTTGGTTTTCCCATTCGGGTATGGATCCATTGGATATTTTCACACGACTCTGTGCGGCGGCGATTCCCCGCTTTCCAACGCTTTTCACCATTTTCTACACGGCGAGAAAAGCGCAGTTCCTCTTGCTTTGTAATGCAATTCCTTTTAGAGCTTTTAGCTTGGTTTTTCTCAGTGCAGAACACGGCTCATTTCACTGCTGCATTCCGCCCATTCTGGGCCCTCTTTCATCGCGCTTTTAACAATTTCTTTCATATTCTTTCTGGCCTCACTGGGCCGGTTATTATTTTTCTTTGAGGCGCGAAAAACAAAGAGGAAACTGGAAAAGTTTGAAAACAAAAACCGCATTAAAGGTTCATTTGGCTGCCGCTTTGTTTGCCTTTTGCCATCGCGCGTAGGCTAAACATTGTGGCTGCGAGATACCCACCGGGCTACTCGGATACCCAGATACAAAGATACGAGCCGGGCCAGACGGCAGCCGCTTGGCCTAGATACAAATTGGCACTGGCACTCGCTGGTGGTGGAAGCGTGACACGATAGCACTCACGAGGGAACTAATAGGAGGGTCGATCTCACTATATATGACTTGGCTAAAATAATCATAAGTTAAGGCATTTTCCAGACGGCCATTTAAAAGCTTTTCTTCCAAGAGTGACATGTTGTCTCTTCGAGCACTTTTGCCACTTCCCCGGGCATGGATCCCTGGCCGGGGCTTTTGGGAATCCAAACTGGAACAGCCACTGCCAATGCGATCAAAGTGAAATTATTATTCGCTCTTGACGAAACAGCTTCGGGTTCGATTGGCAGCCACTCCAGTGCTGGCATGGTGGTGGGCAGTCGGGCCACTGGTGGCATTAAAAGAAATGTTTCGGATTCGAAACGAGCGTAAAATGGAAAGCATTTGGCGACGCTTTAATGCCGTCAAGTGATCAGCTTCGATGGCCTGTCTTACAGCCATTCAATGTTGGCCAAGAGTGGCGCTTCATCACATTCTGCTGATTGGGTTCTCGGACGGGACGTGGAGGGGAGCATTAGAAATACGAGTACTCCGCCACACACTGACCCATATGAGTTAAGCGACATCACGTAGCTTAAGAATTTATTATTGCGTTTGTTTGTTTATTTCTGGCCGAAGGTTTTCCTTTCCTAAGCCAATAAGCGTTTCCAATGTGTTTCCCGAAAGGGGCTTCGAGTCTCTGTCGTCATTCAAACGACAAAGTTCTTGACTGAGCTATGGAGGCTCTGTTTTGGGTAGAGTATTGCCATCCAAAAACACTTGCGAGTGTAGCGTGCGGGGGCAGCAACCTCCAAAGCTGCTATTTAAATTATAACTTGTAGCGTCAAGCTGTCGCCTTCTGCTGGGGCCCGATATGGTTTATAATGCTGCTTTTTATAATATGCCAGTCAGTCATGGTCTCATTGTTTCCAATATGATGCGTCACGACAAATGGGATTCTGTTTTGGAAGAGTCTCTGGTTGGGATGCTGGCTATAAAGTCGCTTACTAATTTCTTTCTGGTCTCATCTACGAAATAATAGGTCTTCACTGAACTCCCAACTATGTGACCCATATATCTCTATACCTTGCCTTTGATTGATGGATGGGTGAGACCGTGATTTGTCATCGCCCACGACAGAAATTGTTATTCCCGCTCCGTATATGGAGTGTCATGTAACTTTTACTCACTTTTTGTTGGCGGCATCGCAGCGACATAAACGGGAAAATCAAAAGTCGAATGTCACGTTTTTGGTGAGCTGGGAATGGGTCTCTCTTGGTGGCTTGATGGCTTGATGGCTTGGTGGGTGATGTTGGAGTAGGTTGCGCAATCCGAGACAATTGCAAATATTTGGTTGTGTCATGCGTGGATATCCCATAATTGAGTTACTCATTCTATAGAGTTTAAAGTAGTACACCTCTTAAATTAAATACTAATCTCAACTCTTAATCTTCCAGTCTGTGCAATAGTCGAGTACGAGTACGCCGCCAAGGAGTCGGACGAACTGGATCTCCAGAAAGGTGCCATCATTCATCGGATCAAGCAGATGCCCGGCGGCTGGTGGCAGGGCACTCTGAAGGCCACCGGAACCACGGGCATGTTTCCGGATAACTTTGTTCGCGTCCTGGACGCCAGCATCGCCAGCAACGGCAACGGAAACGGGAGCGGCGGCGACCACAGCGACGAGGGAACGGGTGTCCAGCTGAGGTGAGTCCCCGCTCTTAATGACGCAATCGGCCCCGAATCTACATAACAGTCTCCTTTCGATTTCACCCATTCAGGGACAAAGCCGCGACATCCAATCGCCGCTGCAAAGTCATCTACAGCTACACACAAGTCAACGACGACGAGCTGACGCTGGCCGTGGGTGATGTCATTGAATTCCTAGGGGAGGTGCGTACGCAGGGTTGCAGGGGGTGTTCCGGGGTCTTACTACCCCCATTTAACCTATTGGGCCAATAGAGAATGAAATTCGTTATGCACTGAAAGAAATAAAAGATAAAGTTTATATTTTTGTTTAAATAGTTTAAGCTTTTTTAAAGTTAAAGCTCATTGTGTTAATAATTCTAAGTTTTTTTTTTTAATTTTTTTAAATTTGGTTCAATTGTCTTGCCACGATTTCTCTCAGTGTATAGCCCAGCACAGTCTGTTCATTTCACTGAATGCCTTTCCACACTGTTTTCTCATTTAGGTCGAGGAAGGCTGGTGGCGCGGTCGTCTGCGCACCAAAGTTGGCGTCTTCCCATCAAACTTTGTGCAACATATCGAACCGTCGCCGATTCTGGCCTCCAAGCGACCGCCGACGATTGGCGCCACGGTGACCACATCCTCCCTGACGGCCAAGGCGTCGAACGTGGCCGCCAGCATTACCAGTTCCAGCACCGGATCCTCCAGCGGAGCAACTGCACCAGCCACCACCACCACCACCGCCACCAGCAACACATCGAAGCAAACGACCAAGAGCAGGGCAGTAGCTGCCCCTCCAGCTCCTGCGGAATCAGCGGCCATTGGCTCTTCGGGACTGTCGGCGGCAGGACCCGGAGGTCCCGGAGCTCCGATGCTGCCACCGAAGCCGCAGCGGGAGTACTGCCGGGTGGAGTTCCCCTACGCACCCCAGAACGACGATGAGCTGGAGCTGAAGGTGGACGACATCATCACAGTGATCACCACGGAGCTGCCCGACAAGGGGTGGTGGAAGGGAGAGCTGCGGGGGAAAGTGGGCGTCTTTCCGGACAACTTTGTGAAAATGATGGCCCCCTCGGAAGGTGAGTTATTCCGATTTCTATCGGGACTTTCCGAAAGTTTTCTCTCATGTCACATTTTGATTTTTGGTCTGTCAAGTGGCTGTCATCATTGTCTCCACCTCTCATTAATGCATCCATCCCCCTACCCCTCCCCCACTCCTCTTAATTGGAGGCAATTTTCCAAACGCACCGGCATCGACATGGGCACTGGCTGTAAACTCAAGTCGTTAGGCTTGGAAGTGGATGTCGTGACGTAGCCATCAGCCGTGGCCGGGGATCAAAGTCAATAAACGTTTGTTTGGTAATTGAATTAATTAAAAGCGAAGACATATTCGAAAAGAGCGCCTCATCCACCTTAATAGGCCTCCTCGGCGGGATCGTTAGTTTTATCGGCCAGGCGAAATTTTTTGATGGCTTAATTGCCACTCGCCGATATGAATCAGATGGCTTTTATGGCCCATGTGCAATGCGATTAAACAAATCCTTTGGCAGCTTTTTATCGGGGCTTAAAAAATAAACAAAATAAACAAATAAAAATTCATTTTTATTGGATATTTTCAAAGAAAATGTCATTTCATAAAGATAAGACAGTATACTCTTTAGGAGTATATCAGGGAACTCCCCGTATTAGAAAACTAGAAGTTCGGGGAAAGATAAATATTTAATAGCTAGTTTCCCCAATCGAATCACATCCATTACACACACATCACGCACCTCACCCGGCACCTGGGCACTCCAATTGAATCATTTCCACAATCTAATCATTTGGCCAAGCCACATCTTAAAGTTCCTTTACTCGGGTTTTTATGACTTGATTTCCGTTTGAAGACTTTTTTATTGGACACCTTTTTTTGTACTGTACTCTTTTTATTTCCCATCTTATGACTCCATGCGATGGTCTTTCTCTATGTAATGCTCCTCAACACTCTTCTCTTCCTCTACTCTCCTTCTCTAACACTCGAACACGTCTATTTCCTCCACAACCCACTACGATTTTTGGTAAAAACTACACAATATACTCCAAAAAATACACCTAATCGATTGCGGGAGCACAGCAGCTCCTCCCCCGCCCAGACCTCGCGCCCGTGCCCGCGGCCGAACCGGAGTTGCATCCGGAATTGGATCCGGGGCTGTAGACGGAACCGGAGTCCGGGTTCCACCGCGGAGTCGAACGCAGCGCGGCGGCTCTTTCGAGTTCTTGGGCGCGCGTATGGCCAGCTTTATCACCACGATTTGTATGTAAACGAGTTTTTCCAGTAGGCAGCTCCAACCGCAGCAGCAGCCGCCGCCACAAGCACACCAGTGGCAGCCTAAGCCCCTCCTCCTCCCCGCCTCGCCACTTTTCCCCCCACCCATTCCTGCACCTCTTCTCGGGGGCTCTTGAGTTTTCTTGTTTTTCTTTTTGGCCACTTTTCATTTTCCTTTCTCTCTTTTGGCTTGGTGGTGCCTCCTGGAGGCGTTTTTGATATGAAATGGAAAATTGCTCGCCACTGCCCTCCCCGCCGCGCCTCTTCCTGGTGGTGGTGCCTCCAAGAGCCGCGTTTTTTCTATGCTCATAATTTCTATGATTTATATTTGGCTTGGTTTCCATACTCTACCTAAAGGATGGTTAGCTATGACGGGGTAGAGATAACAAGAAAAAGAGAGGAAGACCTTTTTCTTTTGCTTAAGTAATCCGTTTTTTTAGGACCTCAATAGGGTCTATATAATACCAAAAATATTAATAATTAATTTAAAATTAATTTTTAAAAGATCTCTGGAATGTTATCCAAACATTATTTTGCTATCCTGGCTTTGGAGATATAGGCCGAAAAGAAGCAATCTTTACTTCATGTTTATTGTCCCTCAGAACTTTAAAGTAAATCGGTTGACTCGGTTTCCCTATTAATCTTTATGAAAATAGCGACTTTGGATAAAATTGGATAAAATAAAACACCTTGAAATGAAGGATAAGCTACGACTCTTAAATTCATAGTTTTAAATTTATTTTCTATTCTGATGATCCTACTAGAAGATATATTGCTACCGCAAAAATAACGTCTCAATATAAAAGTTTCTGATTTTTTTGTTCAAAAGTAGCAGAATTTTGTATTTAAATGCGTATTTTTAAAATACCAATACATTAGGACTAAAAGTTCTGATAATTAATTTACTACTTTGCCCATAGGAACTCCTTAAAAATCTTTTATCTTTCTTCTATCTCTAAATCTTCTTCAAACATTTTTTTTGTTTTTATCTTAAATACTTAATTTAATTATGTATGTTTATAACGAGGCCTTTACAAAAAATATAATAACATTTACCCTCTTTTTGAGATAAAACTATTTAAAATTATTAAACATCTTTTAATTGAATTGAATAATATGTATAAAGTAAGAGCATTTACGTTATGTTGGAGAATCAAACTTTTCTAAGGCACTTCCCATCCTTGGTTGCTTCGTTTTATTTATTTGGCTTTCTTTGGAGCCGACATTGCCCGCGGCGGGCACCCAGTGGAGAGTGGGCGGAGCAGGAGAAGGAAACTGGAGGCCGAAATCAAAAGCGCTTTGTTTACGATCGGTTTTCTTTCAATTTGCAGTGCATGTTGTTTGTTTGGGTGCCAAGTTGGTTGTGTCATTTGCATGGGCAGTTTGCGAAACTTGTTTGTTTTTCTCGTTTGTTAGTTTGTTGGTTTGTTTGTTTGTTTGTTTGAGAAAAAGCATTTTCCCTGCATTGCTCGAACGCCTCGCAATTTGCTGTTTGGGAAAAGTTGAAATATTATGGTTAATTAATACAAATTATTTTCGCAGCATACTTTGCGGTTGGCAGTGGAATTTCAGCGGTAGTTGGTGGTGTTTGTTTTTTTTCCTCCTCTGGTTGATTTTGAAAATTTATGCTTGGCATTTAATTTTTGCTTTACCTTTTGCTTTTGTCAACGTCGCAGTTTTGTTTTGTTTTTTTTTTTCTCCCCACAGCCAGCGCACTTTCGACACTTGAGAGGCAGCCCCAACAAAAAACCTCCAATAGCGCAGGCAACATCATTAAAATAAACAACAGTGGTTGTAACTGGTTTTTTGTTTTTATTCAACGCGCGCCCAGCTCTCTTCGGGGCTCTCTTAGACTCGATCTCTTAAAGGCCAGGCGATCATGATCGTCTTCATTAGCGGCATTTATCAGAAGGTGCGCGCTTCGCTTGTCAGAAATCCATCCACCTCCCATCCACCTGGGCTCTCTCTGGCGAGCCGAGCCGGCCCCTTTTGTTTTTAGTTTATAAACAAAGTTGCCAGAGAGCCGTCTAAAGAGAGCTTGGCCCGGAGTCTCAACATTTTAGTTTCCTACCTTTGGCAGCGTTTTTGTTTACCTTTTGTGCCTCAGTACGCTTTGATTTCTTGACCATTTACGTTATTGAAATATTTTTGTCGGCGCGCCAGCAGATCAAGTAATTTTCCCTCCCTGGCCTACACTGTTTCTTTTTTTTTTTTTGGCCTATACTTGTTTTTTAGTGCGTGTGCTACAGTTACCGTTCTTGCGGCTTTCTTTGTCGTTATTCGTGCAGTTGCAGTTGTAATTCCAACTTTTTGCCACATGGCAGTGGAAGAACAAGAACTCGAACTCGAAGCCACAATTACAGAAGAGAGGTGAAAACGCTTGTGGCTTTGGCGCACTCTCTTAATTATGGATTATGTGTCAGCCAGGTGTAAATTAATGATTATAATTTGCTGCGTGCTCGGCGTAAATGTTTCGGATTCAAAGTCATCATTAAGTCGGTGGTGGCGATTCGAGTTCGTTGCTTAAGTCTTTTGTTTGGTGTGCGTGCTAATGCGTTTGTCTATGTGTGTGTGTGTCTGTGACAGCCGATGGCAGTCATCATAATAACGACAATCCCCCAATGACCACAATTACTCAATGCCTAATAATATCAAATTCGCGCTGCTCTTTTTTTCATTGCGAATTTCATTATAATATTATACCACATTTGGCCTGCCATTTTTGAGCACTCTTGTTGTTGTTGTCATTAAGTGAAAGTCTGTGGGGCAGAGCGCTTTTCCTTCGCCCAGCCTAATCCCAAAATTCAACCGTGACAAAGCCGATTCTTTGGCTTGTTGCTCCACAATACCATCTACTTTTTGTTTCGGCCACAAGTGGTTCGTGGGAATCGAGAGATTGATGAGGTGTGTCCAAATTAAGACACACTCGAAGTTTTGATTTGACAAAAAAATTAGCTAATCAGCATCGGGAGACTGACCCAGAGATGACATCAGCAGAACAAGTCGGACTATAATTAGAGATGATTGCCGGGGTGGATCTTCAATAATTTTTATTTGCTCTCGCCAAGCAGATGTACATTATCTTAGGAAAGAGTTCTTCCATATACATATATATTTATAAAGTTAGAAAACATTATTAGCTTTTGTTATAAGTAGAATATCTAGAATATTTATTTGTTATATCCACCTAGACCTTTGTTTATAAATCTTTGTTTTAAAAGAGTATTCCCAGTTCGTTGTTGAATCTATTGATTTATGTTTCCTGTTGGCAGTTGCCATTTCTTTCAGCCTGACCTTTACACATTTTCAATTGTTACTCAATAGTTTTCGTTGGCTTCACTTCTTTGCTTTGGTTGGCTTTGGTTTGGTTTGGTTTGCTTTTGTCGTCAGCGCCATTTATTGCCATTTATTTATGCCCATCAGTTGCTAGCTCCGTAGCTTTGATCTGCTCCTACGCCTCAGTTCCAGATTCAGCTTCAACCTTAGTGCTTGAGTTTGAATTTCAGTATTGTTTTTGCTTTTGTACAAGCCAGTCTTTCCCTCGGCGTTTCCACATTAGTTTTATTGACATTTGGCAACAAGTTGTCGTCGCAAACCAGTTTCGAGTTGTTTTCGTGCTCAGCTGTTCTGTTCGGGATGGTTAGTCATCTTGGACGCGGATTACCGAAGTGCAGTGGATATCGGCCAATGTGAAAGAGAATCCGTTGAAAGCTTATAGCGTAACCATTAGCCGATGACCACTGTAGTCGATAAGCTGAATGTTTGCATGTCAATTGGCAGGTGCCAGCACTGTCCACCGTCACTAATCCCCCGCTTTGCTTACCCATTCCAGTTGCCCCGATCAACGAGCCAGCCACCACCCAAGTGCAGACTCAGTCGCAGCGGAAGATCGGCAACATCAACAGCACCACCAGCAGCCACCACATGACCACAACGAACTCGAGCAACTCCAGCACCACCACGGTGACCACCCAGCAGAAGGAGCAGGTCGGAGGCAGCGCCGCCTCCACCACGTCGAAGGTGTACATCAAGAAGACGGGCAGCAGCAATAACAGCACCACCAGCAGCACCACCACCACCGCCTCCTCGTCGGCGGGACGCAAGGAGAGTTTCGGTTCTCGCGACTCCCTCAACGACATTCTGAGCGAAACGGGTCTGCCCACGGGAAATGTGGCTGCCCAAAGGAAGTCGCTGGAGAATAAAAACCTCGACTTGACCAAGCCACCGGGCGCAGCCATCAGTCAGCAGAGGAGCAGCACGAGCAGCTCCACATTGACCACCTCAGTGGGCACTGCACTGGCAGCCTCGGCGGTTAGCAAAAGCTTGGAGAACATGGACGAAAAGGTCAAGTCCCCGCCACCGCCGGTGCTCAGCAAGAAGCCTAGTGTGCCGCTCAAGAAAACTCCAACAGGCGGAGTACCCGTGGCAGGTGAGTACTTACCTAATGTCCTTAATGGAATTGCATTAGATAACTTTTAAAATATTTACAGGCAATCTACTGGGCGGCAAGAAAAAGAACCCGGATGGAAAGCTAACCAGTGCCGTCTCCCACGACTTGGCTGATGGCTTGACTGCCAGCAAACTGGTCACAGGTGCCAATCAGCTTCCGGATGCGGGAGCACCGGGAAATCTGGTGATTCGCAGGGCAGCCACCATCGCCGTTGAAGATACAGACTTCGATCGCGTAGAACGCGCCTCGATCCTAACGGATATGCGCCAAGGAAGAGTCAAGGCCCCGAAACGACGACCACCCTCGGCGGCCATAAACGTGCTGGGAGAGAGTAACAATAACTCTGTGTATGTGAACGGAAGTGGAACAGCGGGGGGAGCCGGCAGTGCCAGCGAGCTGAGCGAAGATGGAGGCAAGCCGGCAGCTTCGTCGGATGACAATTCGACGGGCGAGGAGCCGCAGCTGGCCAAGCCAAAGCCACGCGAATGGGAGAAGAAGAAGGCGCCCTGGATGGAGGAGTTGAAGGCTTCGCAGGTGACCCGCAAAAAGACATCGCCCAGCGTGGAGCCACGAGGAGCAACAGTGGCCGAGAGGACCTCCAAACTGTTCGCCGCCGACCAAGCAATTAGCAGTAGCATTAGCTCCAGCAGCAGTACCACATCGAAAGTGCAATCCTCAGCGGTGACATCCTCCATGTACGCGGAGAACACCAGCAGCAGTTCCGTGACCACCAGCAGCAGCAGCACCAGTGCGGTCACCGTCACTGCCAACGATGCCATCATGTCCCGCAGTCTATCCGCCGCCAAGGCAGCTGCCAGTAGCGACGAGGAGACGAAGGCCGCACGTCCCAACAGTCTTGCGATACGGAATCAACGAAGTGTTTCCCCCCTGGTCAAGAGCTCCACTGCCAGCAGCTCGCAGTCTCAGGAGGAGAAGCCCAGCCAGCTGACCAACCACCAGGAGCCACCCGCCAACAAAGTCAACCAGCTGGAGGCGAGAATCGAAAAGTTGGAGGGTCTGGTTCAAAACCAACAGCGCACCATCGAGGAGCTGGTGAACGCCCTGAAATCGGAGGCGGAGCGCGTTAAGATTTTAAGGAGCGAGCTGGACAAATACGCGCAGTGCGTGACGCAAGTTTGAGCCAGAGACTAGCTCTATGATACATATATGTATAGCCTTTTAGCTAGCTTCAGTCCTTGAATTTTAGCGTGCTGAACTCTACATTCCCAGGCCTAGAACGTAGAACGTAGACCGTACCCAAGACAATCCCAAATATCTGTGCTCTGTGTTCTGTACTTATCCAGAATGAACTTTTAGCGAACAGCCGTTTTTGCATGCTAAAACAGTATCGTTTGTCGCTTATCCGTATAATACCTTGTATTCCACCCCTGTATATCTGATAGTTTTTCAATAAGTATTTTTTATACATTCGTACACTCGAAGGACGGTGAAGATGGGACATTGTGTGATTTCTTTTAACTGATCTGCTTTCGATTGCGATTTGTTTTGTTTATACGATTTATGATTATTTTTTAAAGATGTATTAAAGTTATGAGTAAAGTGTACTATAAACTATATACTAAACGTGCGAGAGAGAAATATACAAAGTACTTGTACGATGGAGTTGAAAGCCTAATACTTAAGCAATATCAATAAATAATGCAAATAAATATCTCCATGTTTTCTGAATGTATTTTCTTTTTTATTTCCCCACTTCGATGTGTTTCAGTTGCTGTGTTCTTTTCTGTTTTTTTTTCGATGACTGATCTAGATGATAGCGGTAGAGAATTCACATATCTAACCTTGGCTTATAAACTAACCATTTTGTATAATCTCTTCTTTGAAACAGAAAGCAGACGCGTCGCGGGAAATTCGACAATTGGATGTTTTAATTGATCTGCCAGGGATCGCTGCCCAGATCAGAAGGTCAAACTAAATTGTAATCAGCTAGAGATCGTTTACGTAGGTCTGCCTGTACAGAGTATTCCTTTTTGTTTTGTGATAAGCCTCTACAGAACCCAGCTACTTGTAGTCTAATCGAATCAATCTGCGTAGCTAGAACCCGCTTTCCCGATTGTTAGCCAATATGTTGTGGTTTATTCCGGAAGATATCGCATTTTGTGACTTTTTAAATGTAAATAATAATATGATTGTAAATGAAGTATCGGATATAAAATAAACATTTATTAATTAGTAAAAAATAAATCAGTGTTATTTTTATTATTTTTTTTTTAATGATAATTTAAAATATATCATAAACACTGACTTTTCCGTACTTTTTCTTGAAGTTTCAAAAATAGCTATAAAAAGGCTAAAACTTCATCTCTGCTTTAGCAATGTTTTTCATTTTGGTTTTTGTCTTCGCTAAGGTCATGTAAAAGTTTCATGTAAAATTTGTTTAATAAAATAAACTAAGCTTAATTTCTTCAAAATGTAATGTAAACATTTAATTAAAAACATGAAAAATAAATATTTCATTAAAAGTGTTTTTTCATAAAAACTGATAATAAGCTTATTAGTTAATAGTTCTTTTATAATAAAATGTAGAAATGTAAGAAAACCGGCAAAACATTATTGTTTTGGTCAAGACGAGACCCAAAGCTTGACTTTGATCCGTAGTTTTGGTAAAACAAGCAATCAAAATATGGGGATCTGCACGAGCTTGGAGTTTACTGTCTTTGGTGGAGAAGAGGTTTCTTCGCGGATTTGTTTGTTGGCCGCCTCGTGCAGCTGTGTTTGCTGTTTGTTCTGCGGCTTAAAGCCAAACTAAGCAAATCAAGTTGCCTGCCGCCTGTCTATTTTACACTGAAAATATTTAACTAAAAATTATAAAAAATTTTGATATTATTTCATTAATGATGAGTTAATAATAAATCTTATTATTTCTTATTCATGATTATTTTTTATTTTTCTACAACCTTTATGTACATAGATAGATTTTTTTTAAACAAAAAAAAAAATTAAATTAAATTTCAAGTATTTTTAAGGCTATTTCATAGAACAATTAAAAACCATACATAAACACATATTTTGAGTTTTAAAAGCCTCTATTTTTAGTATAAACAGTATATATATTAGTATATATCTAGTATAAATACTAAAATGTTTAGAATAAACAATAGAATGAAGTATTTAAGAACTACACAAAAGGTGCATGAATAAAAGTATGATTTGTCAAGTTAATAGGGCCTTAATTATATAAAATTATAAAAAAAACAAAGAAAATATCAATAAAAATCAATGAACGTGCTAAAAAATTTGATTTGTATGCTATTATCCTTACATATAATAACTGTTATCGGAATATAACTATCCTCTTGTTCTCTGTGTACTTGTGATGGGGATTGTGCTTGTGCTTTTTGTGCCTTTCTTGTTGTTGCCTTGGCACTTGGTTCTGTGAATGTGTCTGAACCTGAGTCTGAGCCAAGTTAAGAGCTGAGAGCCGTGCTTAGCGGATCGGAGCTTTTGGCTGGCTTCTTGGGCGACGGCGACGGCGGCAGTGGCAGTTATCAGTTTCAGATCGCTGTGGGAATTCAGTTAATTGTGGACACTGTAGCCAAACGGACGCAAAGTAAAGCGCGCCGCTCGAGACTTTCCTCGCACACACACGCAGTCTTCTGGTCGTGAAAGTATCTTTCAGTTAGGCAGTGGCCCCACCCTTCGCCCCCTGAATTTTGGCCAACTCAGACCCAGCAAACCGAAGCCAGGAGCAGCGTCTCAAGTCAGAGCAAACGTAAACACAGCTGAAAACTTATTTAAGGACCGTTCTAAAAAGAGAAACAAGGATATGGTCAGCCCGACCCCTTTCGACCAAGTCAGTTAAATAAATAGTTTTCAGAGTGTGTGAAATAGTGTCACAGTGTGTGTGTGTGAGTGCCCGTGTGTGACTATTTGTTAAACCATTAAAAATAATTAAGCCCAAATAAAAACAAAATATATAAATCCGCGAAAACTTTTGAAAGAGCCATAAACAAATCGCACTCAACGAAATCCGTTCAAAGCTCGCGCGCCAATATTGCTCCAATTTACGAAAAATATATTTATCTATGTATATATATAAAAAAAACACAGCTTGGCAACAATTGCATTGAACACTTGAACAGAAACAACAATAATAATAACAACAACGACACGTAAATATAGAAAGCTTAACAATCAAATCCAACAACTACAACAAACGACGAGGGATTAAAAGCCAGTAAACACCAGCAGAAACAACAAATAAATGTGGTGGGTGCATTATTGGTAAGCTCGGCGGGTTTGGTAAAAAAAAGTAACGGTTAATAATATGCCAGCCATATAAAAAAAAAACAGAGACTCAAATCCGAAGCGAAAAGTATATATACATATATAGATCGGTTTGCAGCCAAAAGTCTAAAATTGGCCAAATCCAAAGCGTTATTATGCGCAAACGCGTTTTTTATGCTTAGCATTTTTCCTCCCCCCGTCTGGAATTTTTTGTTTGGCTTTTGTTTTTTGTCGGTTTTTTGGCTTGTTACTCAAAGTTTTTGCTGCTGTGTTTTAATTTTTGTTACAGTTTTTTTCTGCACTTTGTTTGGTACTTTTTTTTAGCTGCCTTGCTCAACGTGCAAGCATTGTTTTGTTTCTTTAAGCCATAAAGTGGATTTGTTTGCAATTGAGGAAAATAAATAAAAAGTAGGCGGAGGGCGGGGCAAATCCGAAAAATGTTGGCCACAGCTCAAGGTCACGGATGAAAGTATCTCTATGAATTTTTGTGAGTCAATATATTGGCAGGGAAGTGCATTAGTGTATGTGGCTCGACAGACTGGTTCATTGTTTGGTTGATAGTCCCGATCTCAAACTGATGGACAGGCGTGGATTAAATCATTAATTTCTTTTGCAGGAGATGCTTACAAACAGATGTATGAATATAGCTTTTGTTCGATCGACAAACGAGGCTTTAATGGGCTGGAGGCTGTAATTTAGACGCCCTGCTTATTTTGAATCCACTGTAATAATTAACGGTTCGTTGTAATTGAGAGTTGATTTACTGACCCACTGTCCCAGCTGGCATTCAAATCCGAAATACAAAAAATGGCTATAGCAAATCGCCGTGGAGTGAATTAATTTCAGATTTGTCAGATTGAAAGTCAGCTGCCAGCCGAATGCCAAGGAAAAGCCTCAATACGCCGACCAAGGGCAGTAATTGTGTGCAATGGATTGTTTCTTCGGTGAAGGAAAAAAATTTATGGGAGCAATTCAAATCCATAATTTACGATCTTGCTTTCAATGGTTTTAGTACTCTAGTACACAAATCATAAAAATTTAACTCATAATCAAATGTGAATTCAATTAACAAAATCCCAACGGTAAGCACAACCTGTTGCTATTGTTATTAATTCTAAATGGAGCTCCATTTAGATCACATTCGATAAATTAATTGTTTGGATTTTTGGGCCAGTTAACTGGCTGAATAAACGAAGGAGCTTAATCAATTTTATGGCCGTTTAATTTAATAAATCACTCTATTTCATAATAACGATAATTGCCTTTGAAATTAATAGCACGACCTATTTGACAATCAATTACTTCATTTAAAAGGTGGATATTTAGCATTAATTTTAACGGCATTATTTTTGGAGGTATTGGCTATTTTAGGAATAGGATATTCCAGGAAACTGTTTAACTATTTTCGTGTCTTGCCTATTAAAGTAATTGCAACCTGCAATTAAATGGCTACACCCGTCATTATGTTTATTCTTCGTAGCCTCAAGTCGACCCTTAATCAATCAAATAGTCATATCGATAATGGCTATATTCTCTTGGCCACCACATTCTGAGCCAAATTGCAAAAGCAATAAATACTGGAAGCGTTGCCAAACAGTTCAGCAATTTTTAAGCAAAATTATTATTAAAGCTTAATTGCAGCAGTCGCTGCTAAGCTTTGGCCAAAACAATTAAAGGCTGCAAAAAGTTTAATTAACAAATTATATGCTACCAGCTAGAAAGATAAAAAATATAAAAAAAAAAAAAACGAAACCAGCAAATCGCGCGTCAAACGCTGACAAAACGCCTTCATGTCGCGCGACCTGCTCAAAGATAAACAAACTGGTTGGGATTGCACTATTTTAATAACAATTTAGTTAGTGCCTCGAGTTTGGCTTTTGGCTTGCCGCAACAATGCGATGACAAATGGCCAATTGGCCAGAGAGCGGGGAGTGCAATAAACTCTTCGAAATTCCATGGAAATATAAACAGAAAACGGTCCAATTAGTGTTTGGTCGCATGTGTGACTTTGGCACCGACTTTGTGATTATTGCTACTTTTTATTAGTTGATACCCTTGAGTGGGGAAGATTTTAATGGTAGGTTCTTTTAGCTAGGTAGTATTCTTTCGGGCCTGTTTAGATTTTGATGCCTACTTCCCAGGGCAAGCTATCCCTCTTATAAAAACTATTTAAGACCAAAACTTGCCTACTCTTTCGACAAATCTAAACCTTTCTGGTTGAGAAAAATAACGCATACGACGTGTGGCCTCTCCCTTCTTTTGCCTTTTGGCTTTGAGCCTGGCCGTCCCTCAACTCAGAGCTTGACTCCAATCGACTTCACTTCGATTGTTAATGAATTGCAATCGTCGCGCGCGACACTTTTTGAGGGCGGGGGACTGGGGCTGGGGTCTGGGTATCTGTTTGGTATGAGAATGCGAATGTTTGACAATTTGTCACAGGGTCCAACACTTGTCTCGTCCCCGTCTGAATCTAAATCGGTATCTGAGACTTCGATTCCGACTCTGACTCTGACTGAGACTCTGACTCTGATTGTGATTGAATTGCGGGTGCGGACCACGTTTGTTCATTTGTTACACATTTTATTGTGGCTTATTGTTTGTTTTGTGTCATTTGTATTTCCATATATTGTGTGTGTACTTAGTAGCAATTTATTTGCCATTACCTTTTGCTCGTAGTGTTCACTTCTGGTTTTAAATCAAGTTTATTAACCGGAATCTGTCAGTTGCCATTGTGCTCCATTCGCCCCATGTCGGTCTCTTCAGGTTCTATGCCCGATTTCAGGGCGTATCCATAACTATCGATTAGCATTCTAATTTATATACTAACTGCTCGAGAGTGTGGCACAAATTTAGTAACGCCAATGGGCATGCACGAGTTGGAGTGCGAGTGTGCGATTATTCCATTACGATTTCAAGACCAACCTGCGGTTTGCTACTCTTACTCGGAGGGGACTTTATTTATGTCTTATACATAAATATTATAATGATAAATTCAATAAATTATCTCAAAAAAAACATTGTTAGTCAAAGTCTTTAATAATTAGGAATCATTTAAAAGCCAAAACTAGTTTCTCTCTAAAATTAATTTTCCCAAGAATATAACTAATTGTGGTTAAGTCTGAAAATCTGTAAAAAAAGAAGCCTAAAGAGTATTTAAATATTGATTTATCTTGTAGTTTTTGTTGGCCTTAACCCAAGTGACGTCTAATATACCTGCTCCCGGGTATACCTAGACCTAGAACATATTCCGATTCCAATTCCTATGACAATTATGGGTGCAGCTCGATAGTTACAGACTAGTTGTAATTTAGAGACGTTTAACTGCGATAATAAATGTGTGAACAAACTGCTCTGAAACTCGATTTCTTTGAACCGAACCGAACTTTTACTTTCCGATGAGCTTACAGACAAAAAATTGACGAAAGGCCAAAGATCTTAGTAAACGGCTAAGAAGAACATCTGCCAACAGGGCATAAGCCATACGGCATAAAGGCCATAAATAAAGAAGAAAAGAAATTTGAAATGACGTCACAGGCAGCCAGCTCAGAAATAGTTAAGAATAGAATTAGGAATAAAGGCCGGCTGGCATGGGAGGTTCTAACTTCATTCTTTCTTGGCTAATTAATGAGGTAGCTTTTGGCGAAGAACGAAACTTTCGTTTTTAATGAGATGCCTGGCTGGCATAAAAACATATTTGTTTTCATCGCAAAATTCCTCTGTAATTAAAGCCATTGAACGCTGTCCAAAAGGGAGACTAGTGCTAGGAGAGGGGATGTTCTGGCGGACCATGAGTAATTATATGGACTGTGAAGAAGGCTTGATAAGAATTAGAACTGGTTTGGCTGCGTATTTTCTTAATTTTTTGCGGCTTTTGTCTAGCTTTTGCTAGCATCTTCTGCTAGGTTTTAGGTTTTAAACAAAAAATTATGAATTTTGCTTGGCCGGCTTGCTTTGTTTTCAATGTTTTATGGATTTGACTTTGGCTCGGGTTTAATTACATGGTTTGCGTGGCGGAAATGCCTGAGAACGGTTAATTAAATTATGGCTAAGCAAAATCAAACTCATCATCATGAATGGATATACCCATCGATTGCAGCAACTCCGGCCACAGGGGAATCTTCTTTCGAAGCCACTTCAATGGCATGCCAATTGCTGGCAAACAAAAAAGCTATCAAAATACTTGGCCATTAATTATAAATATGTTGAAATTGCAACAGACGACTGAGCATCTGTCTGGGCTTGGCTTTTGGCTCTCGGCTCTTGGCTCTTTTGTGGCCAGACTTTGCAGCTTGTTGGGAGTTTTGGCGGTTGCTGCTTTTTGCCACAACGCGTTGCTAGTTGTTAGTGGCGTTTGCTGTTGCCAACCTGTTGCCAATACAAGTTCAATGATTCTCAACACTTAAAAAATTGAAAATATCATCAACTAAAATACAAGCTTGAAAAGATTAAAGAGCTTAAAAAAATAAATATAAAAACCTTTTTCTTATTCCAAAAACTCCACTATTTTTTCTTGAATAAAATCACTTTTTATTTATAAATTTTAATTAATAGAATATCTCTATTTTTTCGGTGTATTTTGGGTAACTGTGGAATCCACCGATACTCTCCAAATTAACTCTGCAAGTGCCGCAGACGCTTGATAATTTTTGGTGTGAAATGCACCTTGACATTTATAGTTTATCGATTGAACGCAATGAATTTGTTTTCGCTTTGCGATTTGGCTTAATGTTTGCAAATTATTTACCAACTCGGTGAGATCGGGATATGCAATAAACAGACTCCCTCTTGGCTTGTGCACTAATTACCCGCTTCTTGTTTGCCTTAATTGCAGCCATTAAACATTTCGCGAGAATGATCCAAAAGCAGCCGGCTGGGATGGCCAAATGAATCACGTCTGAGGAAAGGAAAGTGAGCTCCATTAAGTGGACACAGAACCGGCGGAATAGCCAGAACAAAGGCAGCACTAAAGCGCTTGATTAACTCCCGGGAGCGACAGGTGGACACAGAGGCGATTTTAGCGGCATGGCACACTTTTGCTGGCTCCTCAAATTCGGTTTCCTGCTGCTGGTAAGTGTCACATTAAGGCGCTAAATGGCCGTTCATGAAGTTTCTTATTTATGGCCAGGTGCGCCAAGAATTCCAGGGAAATCGCTCCAACAGCTTTTGGTCCAAAGCCATAAGTTCAAGGCTTAGTTTGGGCCATTTAAGTAGCCAAATTAAACTAGTTTCGCGGCCAAGTAAAGCTCATTAGGTATAAGATGTATGTGGGTAGGTAAAAATGACTAAAAATATCTTGAAAATAATTAGAAAGGTAAAGGAAACTAATGAGCTAAAATAGAAATTTCTTGAGCTATGTATTCTGTTTAGAGTAAAAAAAAGTTTACTTTAAAATCTTAAAGTATAAAGAGGAATCCATTTCATCCCCTTCAAACTTCAATCAATCACTTTTTCCTGAACTTCAACTTGGAAAGTTTCACTTTTCCCTCCTCACGACTTCTGGTAAACAATGCCTCCAATCGAAATTGATTTAAATGGCACTCAACCTCCTGCTGCCGAAAAATTCCGATTGAGACTTCATCTTTTTATGGCCAGCAATTCCCAGGCCGCCGACTGCAACTGTTGCCAAATGCATTCACAGGGTACTGCTCCATTAACTTGGCCAATGCGTTTTGAAAAATGGTTTAATGGTGCGATTGTACTCCATTTGTTTGTCGACTTCGGTTTTATTGGCCGAAATCATCCATAATGCGATGGCTGGGGAATGCATATGGAATTAATTTTTACCTCATGTGTATGTAACTCCGGAGTCCGGACCAGGCCAGACTTTATTGACTGCTCATTAGACGGAGCCAGTTGATTGTGAGTAATGTGGAGTAGAGTAAAGCAAACTAAAGTCGGGTAAACTAAATAATTGCACGCGATTTGAATGCACTACACTTGGAGAATCAGCTGCGATATAAAACAAAAAATGATACGAAGAAATAAACCATGATTTAGGGACAACAAATGTGTATCCTTTATTTATTAATATTTCTCCAAGTGCCTCTATGCAACTGTTTACTAGTCTGCCTTTGGTTTGTGGCTCTAACTGTGGCTCCGTTTGTGACTGAAACTCAGCCTCTGTCTTTCGGCCATTCGAAGGCGATGACGATGGCAATTTGCAAATTATGCACAGGCGGGGAGTGGTTGTTATTATACCCTTGCAGAGGGTATTATAATTTTGTCCAAAAGTGTGCAACGCAGTGAAGGAGACATCTCCGACCCTATAAAGTATATATACTCTTGATCAGGATCACCTCCTGAGTTGATATGAGCATGTCCGTCTGTCCGTCTGTCCGTCTGTCTGTCTGTCTGTCCGTTTCTACGCGAACTAGTCTCTCAGTTTTAAAGCTATCGACTTGAAACTTTGCACACACCCTTCTTTCCTTTGCACGCAGTATATAAGTCGGAACGACCGGGATCGGTCGACTATATCCTATAGCTGCCATATAACTGATTGATCGGAAATGGTATAACTTTGGTGTTTTTAAAGTTAGAAAGTTCTAATTTAACATGAGAGCTATTTTTGGCAAAACAATACGACGTGCCAAATTTCATAAGGATCGGCCGACTATATCCTATAGCTGTCATATAACTGAACGATCGGAAATGACCCAACTTTCGTGTTTTTGAAGATAGAATGCTGGAATTCCATACAGATTCTATTTTTGGTCAGTTGGTCCAACCTACCAAATTTCATAAGGATCGGCCGACTATATCTTATAGCTGCCATATAACTGAACGATCAGAAATGGTATTTGGTGTTTAGTAAAAATAACAACTTTGTTTTTTTTGACGATAGAAGCTTGGGACTTTTTTTTAGATTTTGTAATTTAATTAATTGGTTTTATTATAATGTAATCATAAGGATCGGCCAACTAAATCCGATGTTTGCGATATATATCCGGTTTTAACTGCAAGGGTATATCAACTTCGGCTCCGCCCGAAGTTAGCTTTCCTTTCTTGTTGTTGCATTTATGTTAGCTGCACCACCAGCGGGGCGACTACATTCTAAACTCGGCTTTTCTTTCGATTATTAACCCGTCGTGGCATCCGACATACGACTATGTTTACATGAATATTCATTAGACGGGGTATCTCATTTATGGGCTTAAGTAATTTTTAAATGTTGTGGGGCCAACATGGGTTAATTTCCCACACAAATCTGTTTTTGGTTTGTGTCTCTGCCGTGTAATTAATAAATGTATGTTATTGGGCCACAGCCCAAAGTTGTTGGCTGCAATTTGGATTAACTCCAATTCAAAGTCGTTCTGGCCCAACGTTTGGCATTGAGTACGTTTCCCTAATGTGGGTTGTTGTTGGAGATCGATAGGACGATAAGGAGTGCACTTGAAAAAATAGACCACCTTATCGTTATCCTTTCTATTCATTGTTCAAATATTTTGCAACACTACCTTCACTGCAATTATTTTATTAAAAATATAATGACTATTCATTTAAAAAATCTATGTCTTTATTATAGGCAATCTCCTTGTTCATTTATGACTTCAGTTGCCTGTCGGGGGCCATAGTTTAGTTGGTAAATCATATTTATTTGCAGTGGCAAAATAAAGGCAGCCACGTAAGCCTTTAGTCAGAAATATTGTGTTCAAAATCCAAGCCACAGCTGACGACAGCGGGTGGTGGCTATTGTGGCGATTGTGTGCTACCAGCGATTAGACTTTGGCCAAAGCAGTTTAGGCCCGGTTTATGGGGAAAATGGACTCGCTGACACATTCACCTGGCCACCGACTGGGCGCAAGTTGCAAGTTGCCAGTTGCCGGTGTGGCTGCTCCTTTCAACGCCCACTTTTAGCATAGAAACGCCCGCAGACAGCACTGGAAAATGAACGCCAAAATGCCAGAAATGGGGGGCAGGTTACATGACTTTTTCCGCATTCGATATCCCTCTGTGTGTGGCAAGTTCGTGGCCTGACTCACTCCTGTCTGGAATCCTGTTCGGCCGCTGTATCAATCATCGCAAATCAAATATTCGCATAAGTAGTATGAAAATACTTCCGAAATTTGCATAATGCATACATGAATTCAATCTGTCAACCCGTTGCGTTGTTGACTGTCAGGCGTAAAAACTGAAATCACGATGATTGTGGCTAATTAAAGTATCGCTCCGGTATCTCGAGTATCCAGAGTATCGAGTGGCAGCATCAGCGGCACTTGAAAGCCAATCGAGTGGGCCAAATGAGCCCAATAAAGAGAGTGCTCATTAAGGCGTGATTATTGCTTAATTGTTTGCTGTCTATTCACGCGCACAAGGCGGATACGTAATGTTGTATCTCATGTGTATCTGTAGCTGTACCTGTATCGGAGTTCTGAAAGTACAATATCTTTTTTGACACTTCCGCTAAGTTGACAGCCGTGAAAATTGTCGCCGCTGTTGTTGTGAATGCTGCAACAATCGAATGATAAATCGTCAACTCCAAGTCCCACAGCAAAGTGCAAAAGAATGTCCAACAGGATTAGCGAAATCCAAAGCAGGTAGCTGCTTAGCAGCCCGACTGATAAATCAATCAAGATTAATAATTGCCTATCATGCGGGGTGCCTATCAAGAAAAGGGCGAGGTGAGAGAACTCGGTGGTTCATTCATTAAACTGGAGCACGTCACTGACCAGGCGTTTTAAATAGCCCCACAATGGAAAGGAATGTGCATTGTTCGGATCACAAAACGAATTTTGTTATTATTTTTAGAACGTTTTGTGCATTGTCTTAGGGCTAAAGGAAACCAAACGAAACCGAATAGTTTAAGGGCCTTTGGTGATTGTCACTCCCTGGACTGTTAATTTGGTGTCAATGCTAAGTAGAGCCCACTGTCGCTTTTCAAAACTCACATCTATTCACAACGCCCGCGGTCAGTTACTTCTGCAATTTTAGACATAAAAGGCAAGGCGGCCCGCCGAATGACTAACCGATCTAGTAACTGGTTGGTCACTCGGTTTTATTTTATTTCTCGTATTTATACACATATATTTACCATATATATGTATTTTTTTCTGTAAAACACTCTGTAACTTTAGCACATGTGCGAAGGTGTTTGGCTCCGACAGCAATTGTTAGATGCAATCGCTCAATTCTGCTCTAGAAAATGCCCGGCGACAGGCGCCCACTGCACTGCCGGATGTTGTTATTGTTCTTGCTCAGGGGGGTATAAATATACATTATCGTATCGTATGTATACAGCTTGAATAATTATGCTATTATGTTTACAATTCAGCCGGGTTCCCATTAATATTTCGATTTTTATTCAATTTTTCGCCATTTTTCATTGTTTTCAATTTGCGCCTTTCCAATTCGCGTCATTATTTCAATGGATCAAAAGTGTTGGATACTAAATGATCTGCCTGGTTGCAATTAGCAATGCTAATGTTGCGATATAAATATCCATAAATATGTTTTATTGGTCAGATCCGATCGCCGGGCCATTTGGCAGGGCAAGTTCGTGCCCTAAGTCTTTTGTTCCAGCAGTGGGTGTGTGGCGCTGATAACAATTTATGGCCGATCTCTGGCCATGAATTTGCCATGCAATGTACGGCTGCTATTACACCATGGATAAGTTAGTAGATGGCTTATCTAATAAGACAATTTATTGGCACATCAAACAATAAAAAATTAAGTTTCAATGAAAGCTAAAATTGAAAAAGTATGAGGTTTTGAAAATAAAAACGTTAATGGATTATAAATAAAAGAGTTATAATTAATAACTAATTAATCCGGAGGAGTATTTAATTAATATTACTCACATTTGTACAAGCAAACTGCTCTGGAAATCCAATAAAAACTTGTCCTTTAACCGAAACAGGAAGTTTACTTCCTTAAACACTAAAAACAGGTTAACATACGACTTGTACTAGGATGAGTCAGAGAAATGCATGCAAATGAACAAATAACAACATAAATATCTTGCTGACGCGGAATGACAGATTGACCAGCAGCATTTAAGTAATGTTTCCATTTTCCACTCCAGAGGAGCTAGGCGAGTTCCATTCCGATGTGAAGTGTTTGCCTCAGCACACGCTTAAGCAATCTATAATTCGCGGCTGGAACTGTTTGTTCGATTTGTGTTTTCGCTACCTTACGCCACCCACTTGATCACTTGCAACGCGGTTAATTATGCCACATTCGCCACTTGACTAGGGAGCAACATGCACCACTTCAAACGGAGCACCGCACAGCATTCCTCTGATGTCTTAATAGACTCGCCGCATTATTATTCAAATGCCATCGAGTCCGAGGTCCAGATCTCGGTCGGCCATTGCATGACTTTTGCATATTTGCCGGCGACATGAAGACATATATCGTACTAGCATATAGTCCGATACAGATCGCAGATTGTCGATCGATCGAAATGATATTTTAATTACGAAAATTTATAAATAGATTGCTGAGATAAGCTGTTGGATGCGATCACCCTCCATATGATTTTCATGCACTTGAAAAGATATTTTTTATTACTCAAATTAAATGACATTAAATAATTCTGTCATCCCTTTCAGATGCTGTCCGGCTGTTGGACACGTCCCTCTCCTTTGCCAGGTGGACGGCAAAGCGAACTTATTGCGGGTAATGAGTTCCTCAAGCTGTTCCTCGATCACGATGACCAGCAACGCAGTCTCCACAGCGGAGAGCAGGACTTCGAAGGGCGCGGAGAGTCCGCACATCCTCGACAGCGAGTGACATCAGGAAGGAGTCTAAGCACGAGCAGAAATCGGTACAGGAATTCTCTTGGCACAGGAACGGCGCAAGAGACCCAGGACACCAAGCAGGTTGTCAAACTTGTTACCTCAGGCAGTAAGATAGTGTTCCTGGAGGATACTCCGAAGACAGTCAAGGGGAAGTCGAGTGATGAGGTTAAGGTGGTGGCGGTTAGCGTGAGCTCCTCCAGCAAAAGAGGACCTCCCTCTGCCACCGGAAGCGGCGCAGATTTTGTGAACCGATCCCACAAGAGTGAACTGTCAATTGAGGAAACAGAGCCCCGTTTGGCGGCTGAATCGATGGATGGAGTTGAAGTTGACTCCCTGAACAGTGCTTCCAATATCCAAAGCGTCCTGGCAGCCCCTTTACTTGCTGCTTCTGCCTCATCTACGCACATGTTCATTAAAAATCAAAGTGAAATAAACGAAGAGGAAACAGGAGCTGGAACAGGAGCAGGTTTGCCATTTCAGACAGTGATTTATCACGACACAAAGAAGGGTCGGGGACCTCAGTCCCGATCGATATCCTACAGCTCCATCTCCCAGAATGTGGACGACCTGCAGACGTGGCAACAGTCGAAAAGTGGCATTCTGGCCGAGGCCCAGAGAAATGTGAGCGAGAGCCTGAAGCATGGTCATGCCTCAGAACCGGCTAAGTTCTATTCCGTTCCCTCGAAGATGTACAGTGTGCCGAGTAAATTTTACTCAGAACCTGCCAAAGTGTACTCCGAGCCCTCGAAGATGTACGGCCAACCAGAGAAAGTTTACTCTGAGCCGGCGAAGGTGTACGGTCAGCCATCGAAATTCTACTCGGAGCCAGCTAAGGTCTACTCGCAGCCATCGAAGGTTTACGGGGAACCGGCCAAGACCTATTGGCCCCAAACGGTGAGCAGCAGCACGGCAGAAACTCCTTTGGCAAGCACCACTTCTCATGGCGGTTTTTCGACAACGAGTAGCACCACTGAAATTCCGCCTGTTGCAGCCACCACTTTCGTGCCCCCAAGATCCAGACCACGACCTGCGATTGTCTCGCGCATCGCCTTTGGCGAGGCCCAGAGCACAACAACAGCCCCGGCCACTGCTGCATCTACGGCAGCAACATCAAGCAGCACGGCAGCAACACTAACCAGCACAGTACCAGCAACAGTGGCCAGCAGGGTCACCACAGTAAAGCCACCGATCAGCACCCTAAAGCCCACTACCTGGCAACATCATTACCACAGCTACAACCACCAGCAGCCGCAGCAACAGCAACAAGCTCATCCTACGCGCCGTGTACTCTTCAATTTGGATAAATTGCCTTATGATTTATTGAATGCACCGCAACCGCATCTATTGGAGCCAATTTTATCGAAGCACTCAAGTCCGAGCAACTACCAACAGCATCAGCAACAGCAACAGCAGCATCCGTGCTGGGAGCAACGTCAGCATTCATCACTGCCGCATCAACATTCTAATCAAAATGCCAAAAGATTGCCCAATAGAGGTGAGTCCAAAACTTAGTTTGAATCTGAAAAAGACTCGGGCTTTGGCCCAAAAATAAATTACACTGTGCAGCAGGGTAGGTCTTGCCATTGCATAAATTAAAGAGATCAATAATGTGAACCAGACAGCAATTATACTTCATTTATCAGTTTAGTTTATTTTGAAATTGAAATTTTAGCTTGCAAAGCTTGACTTTTCTCTTAACAGAGTTTCAAATAATTTGTAAAAGTTTTAATAGTATTACCATAGTTTAAATCCTAAGCCTTATACCTTTTGTTAAATTATGTTGTTGGCTTAGATATGGCCTCCTGTTGCACAGTGCAATTATGACTTGTGACTGACAGCGACAACGCACGGGTTCAGCCACTTGAACTCTGGCTAACTAATCTTGAACTTATCAAACATCATCTCTCGCTGAATCTCTCCCTCCGGCAGATCTAGTCAAATGTATTTCCAAATTTGCACACCAACATGGAGGCGCATCAGCACCGGTGGACCCATCGGCGACATCTACGGGAACTGGCGGCTATTCGTATAGTTCCAGCTCCAGCAGCTCCTCTTCCTTAGCCTCTGCGTCCTCGTCCTCTTCATCGTCATCGTCTTCCTCCTCATCATCATCCTCGGCGACTTTGCGGCAGCAACAACAGCAACACTTTACCACCGAACACCCCGAGCTTTATACACCAACCTCGGAGCAGAATTACGAAATTGAGGAGTCCGTTAGTGTTATGACAAACGGACGAGCCCATGGTCCGCAGGGTGGTGGTGCGGGGATAGGTTTTGCAGTGGCCACAACGCCAGCCAGTCCAGCAACAACAACACCAAGCCCAGCCAGCGGCCGAGGCATAAACAGAGGACGTGGATCAGTGGTTTACAATGCAAATGCCAACGATTATTCAGATGGCTCTGAATCCGATGGCGAAGGAGGTGATGTCGGTGGCGGAGGTGGATCAGATTCCGCCGACGAAGACGAAGACAAAGTCGCTTATGTGGTGGAGGGACGCAACTATAGAAAATACCGGGTGGAGGAGAAGACCGACGACGGCTTCATTGTCGGCGAGTACGGAGTGGTGGACCACAACGATGGCAACTTGTGGGGAGTGCGTTACACGGCCGACTCCACCATCAATCGCAGTCTGATACAGAAGGCGTTGCTCACGTTTCTCAAGCTCAAGTAGGGGCCAAAATGGTCATCATCCACTCGGAAAATAAGAGAAAAGCGTTAGGGGAAAATTGTCATTAATAAAAAAAGGCAAAAACACAGTATTTGACAAAGAAATACTTACGTAAAAAAATTGACATTTAGCCTGAAAATCTTTAAAAAGAAATTAGATTATTATTTAAAAAACCCGCCCATAAACATTTATGATTTTCCCTTGTCGGATAAAGTTATTTTTTCGAGTGTACACTAGCACAAAGCACTCCCCACTGAAGAGACATCGCTGCAAAGGCATTCACATGTGATCCAAGTCGTATTGTAGTTAGCCTAGATAACCTAGATAGCCTAAATAGATGTACCCTAGTTGTATAGCCACCTAGTGGAGTTCCCACGAGATCAGGACATACATACGTATATGCATACTCCCTTGCCCTTGCCCCTGAGTTTGTGTCTGTGTGTGTTTGTAGTCAGTAAATGAATTTTGTTTAATGCTTAGTTAATGTTTCATTTAATTTATTGTAGTTGTTGGTATTGTAATTGTACTTGTAACCGTAACCATAACTCTAAAGCGAACCTAATTTATTCAGTTGATCAGCTTTCGAAATTCCACTGACCTAGCAACTTGCCATAAAATCCGATGCGGGATCGATATAGCAGCGATTTAAATATAGCACCTACCAGCATTAAGAGCGAGCGATAAACATTACAAAAAAACTATCCTAATTAGAGACTAAGTGAATTGCGTAGAGAAATAAACTAAATTAAAACGAGAGTAAATCGTACCTGTGTATTAATCTCTCTGCGGGAGTGGATCGAATCGAATGGGAAAACAGGTTGTCCTACGGCCGAGATCCTACGCGTTTCTGGCCCTCCACTCGGTTAAGTAAATAGCCACTTAAAATTGATTAAAAACATGTAGCCTGCGGCCATAGGGAGGAGAACAGTTTTCTGAACAATATCATTAAAATTTAATTGATATGAGCAAGTGACAAAGCAGCAGCAGGACAACAGATGCACCAAAGGAATCGGAGGTTTAAGGAAGTTGGGTATCACTCAACAAAATGTGGAAACATTTTTATAGATTACATTTATAAAGATTAAAAGATCATCCTTCTACTACAAATAAAGAAAAATATTTTTTGAATGAGGAAGGTTTTGTACAATTTTTTATGAAAATATTTTTATGATTAAGTATAATCTCTTTAGACTTTTTTTCCCAGTGAAAGGATCAATAAGATAAGCACAGAGACAAGAGCATTCCCTTAGCCGGAATTCTTGACTTGCAGCCTAAACCTGCCGGGTTATCAGTCTTGGAGTGAAACGCGGAAACCGAGAAGTCAAACAGAACTGGATTCACATATCGAGAGTACGAGGAACTTGTGACAAAGTCAAGGCGGCCGTTTTGGCATTTTATAGAGCTACATTTGGCCAATTAAGAGAGGCATTGCCATAAATGTCCCCCGTTGTTGTTTACTGATCTGCCCCAAGAAACTGATTCCATACGGGCCCATAAATGCTCCACTCAACGGGAAACCAACTGCAATTGGATGCGAAGGTCGCTGAACGTCCTTGCTTGCGGTCGCCTTATTCTCTTTTTTTTCTTTTTATTATTTTTTCTGCAGCTCCTGCTTTGGCGTCAGAGTGTCGTCATTTGGCTGGTATGGTTTTATGGGCCCTCGGGGAATGGGAGTCGGCATGGATGGGTTATTGGTGAGTGGCTGGTAAAATTTCCACTAATGATTGCATGCGCCAGTGTCAGTCCAAGTTCGAGTCAGAGTCCGAGTGCCAGTTTTAGCCCCATCTCCGGTTCTGGGATTTATTTTTAGATATGTAAGACAATCGGGTGAGTGTGGAGTTCAAGCTTTGGTATGCTGGCTTATCGCAAACCGGCAATCGGCCCTCTCAGCCAGCCGCAGCTGCAGTCCCTGACTTGGATTCTGACCCGGTCGCATCGTCGACGCGATCTGCGTGAAGAAATACGGCACATGACCATAAAAATCACGAACCAAAAAAAATGTAATAATATGTAATAATATGGGGAATACTCTTAAAAATACAAATAAATCATTTTAAAAATATTTTAAATGTATATTTAATTATAATTAAAATATTTAGATCATAGTATGATGTGTCTGACAAATGGGATTATCCAGCTTATTCTACAATTAGGACATACCCTTTAAAATAGAAACCCCCTTTATATTTAAGAATCTAAACATTTTATTTATAAATTTGTAAATTCTTGTAAATAAAAATGAGAACCTTAAACCACAATATTTCTACTGAATAAACACAAAGTCGTGTAAAAAATGGAATTACCCTCGACTTCAAGGGTATGTAAAAAGAGAATGTGCCTGGGCAGTTGCAGATTTAATGCGAAATGCCAGAGACAAAAGTGCCAGGGAGGGGGGTCTTTGGGATGGCAGTCATGGCAGGGGGATCAGTATGGAGGAGGACTAGGAGGAGGGGCGACAGCCGTGCCCTTTCTGCGGTCAGCTGCCTGATGGACATCTCCCGGGCAGCGGGAAGAATTGGCGGAGAATCGGAAACTGGTTATACCGTTGCAGGCTGCAGGCCGCTGGCTGCTCCATGGCTTAAGTGCGGCAATTATGGGGCGAGTTCTCTGCCTTTTTCTGGAGTGAAAGAACATGATGAATGCCAGGCGAACACGTTGCCATTCCTGGCATGGAATCCGAAGCTTCTTCTACGTTCGCCTTCGGGGGCGTAGAAGTGCGTGTCGACAATAAATTTGAAAACTACACGATCCCCAACTGTATGACAAGTTGAACACAGTCACGCCCCATCGCCCCCAATGTCCTGGTTAGTGGCTTTTTAATGCGGAGGGCGTGGCACTGGAATGGCCATTCTGACAGCTTCCCATTGGCTTCATTAAAGCCAGCTTCCTTTTACTTTTGCCTTGAGACTTGGAGCTGGCAAATTGCTGGCCCATTGATCTGGCTTACAAGAATCTGCACTTTTGTGTAGCAGTCTAGCCGGCCAAGAGTCCTGTTAATTATTTTCAGCTCAGCAATCGGTGGAGCTCCTTAATGAAGTCGCCCCCATGCAGGTGAAGGAGGCCGATCGGGCTTGTTTCTTTTTTTACAATTTACGATCCATTTTATTCAATATTCGAGTCGCGGGGCTGATCGATCGCTGTTCGAGAATTTATGACACGGCATTATAATTGACCGATTTGTCATTATAATTAGCGTGTACATGCATCCGACGGCGTGGGGACGTTGGAAGCCTAATTTATGCAGTTTGTCGGGATTATTTTTAGAGAGAGGATGCTTCGAAGTCAAAACTCGATACAATGTTGTAAGAGGCAATAAATATTTGCATAAAAATTACAGGAAGTAAAGTTTATAATATCAGGAATGAATGTAGATAGTAATTTAAGATACCTAAAAATATATTGCATGATTAAATTAAGAAAATAACCGATTTTTACTATCAAACAATTAAATTGGTTTTTGTAATAATTGCGCCATCTGTGGGTGAAAATGTAAAAGATCTAGAAGATCTTAAATTTTGTGCCTAAATGTATGCAACAGTCGAAACAAAACGAAGAGAAAATAAAACTTTTGTTAATATTAAACATTTTTCTAATAAAAATTTGTACTTATTTTATGTAGATAACAATATTTTAATCATCCTTTATACTTTATATTAACTTATAAAGATTGCTTATCAAAATATCAACATTAAAACAAAGTATATTATAAAATAATAAAGATTTGATCTCGGAATCGTTTTTTACAGCAATATACAATATACAATATAGTACAATATATACAATCATACAATTTTTATTTTCTGTTGAATTAACTCAACATGTTCCTATGGACTTCCCATTTTGTTAAATTATTTCTGGCCACAAATTGTTTCTTTTGTTAATTTGCTATTAATGTCCACGACGTGTAATGAATAGGCATTTTTATAAACATCATATATAGATCTTCTGTCAAAATAACTCTCACTGGAAAGGGGGAAATCCCTTCACCTTTTTGCATTTGCAAAACACTTGAATAGAAAAATACAAATTTTAGGCCGAACGACGGCCAGCAAAACGCCTACGAAAAAATCCAGTACCGGAAAGAAGGATTAAAATTACCAAAAGTCATGAATCAAGCTGAAAAGTTAATTCAACAATTCGAAAAAAAATTCTCCATATGTGCATAGGTCAGACAATGAAGAGTGCAAATCATTGCACTGCCCATGTTCTGGAGATTCCTGCAGCCTGCAATCGATTTGGAGCAGGACTAATTGTTCACCGGCAATTAGCAGGAAAAGAATTCCAAACTCAACACTTTACTAATCTGCAAGTGTCAAGCAGCCGCAAATGATGGCGGCGACAAAAGGAGTTGACAGGCAGGACTGTCAGGATATTCAGGGGTTGGAGTGGCCGGGTGCGGGCACCGTAAAGATGGAAGTGTGCGTTCCAGCTAAAAATGGAAAAAAAAACCAGCCAGCCGCACCGGCAGCATCGAAATTCCCTCGAACTGCAAGGAGCAGGGATAATATGTTTTTTTTTTAGTTGGCACACTTAAGAAAAGATGTTGTATCTTTTTTGATTATTGGCTTTTTTATTCATATACTTAAGACCTAATGGTTTTTTTAAATATTATTTTCAGGAAGAGAATATTCAAGTTATCAATATTAAGAAAAGTATTTTTAAAAGTGCACTGACTCATACTCAGCTCCAATGTTCAACTCGAAAAACAGACGACAACAGGTCGCCTGAAGATAGCTCATAATGGTGGATACTGCCCTATACCTTTTCATATAATGAAATTCAAGTACCGCACGGTGCTCCTTTAACGTTTGATATCAAAGGACATTCGATCGGGCATGCAACATGCGTTCATTGTCCCGCCGTTGTTGTCAGTTTCTTAAGCGTTTCTCGTATTTATGCCAAAGATTACATGTTGATCTCGCATATCTTTCATCTTCACGGACTGGGTCCTTGTTTCCCTACCATCCCTTCGCCCTTATACCTTTTTCATTTCTATCGCGATTTGGGTTCTGATCCTGGAATCTGTGCGTGCTTCCCACGTCGCTGATATTCGATACTCGTTGGCTGGGGAAATCAAAATGCCGTCAGTCAGTAGCCCAGTCATGATTCTGCATTAATTGGTAGAAAAAAATTACAAACATCGTGACTCACTCAAGGACATTAGTTCAAATGAAAGTAGGAAAGCTGGTTTTAGATTGGGGCAGGTAAAAATAAATAATATAACTTTTATTAAAAGAACAAATGATAGATACATAGATAGTCCAATAGACGTTCTCCCAATCATTAAGTATGTTTTGTAAAACTTGGACATACAATCTATGGTTTTCCATCTTTATTGAATATTTTCCCTCGTTGACAACTCGCCTGCTTCTCTGGTAGTCCATTGTGAAAAATGCTCTCCAGAGATTCTCTGGCATTGATAAGTCATGCCAGGAATTGCCCCTTTTAAGCTACCTCCAGTTTAGCGATTTGATGAGGGTTTTCCCACATAAAACGATAATTTCATAACTGAAACAAAAGCATATTTGTCCATGCTAGATTGATCGCCCACTTGTTATAGGCTTCATACAAAAAAAGGCCAAAGAAATTGAAATCCTTTCATTCATATTCCCCTTTTTTCGCTAGCCCTTTCTGTTAGGTTCCTAGAAGTTAGTTATGCGATATTCGCTATTTATTCAAACCTTAAAGGCCCATTCTCTTTTTTTTGGTGGAAAATATAGAATTCAAAAATTTTCCGCTTGAGT